CAAAAAAAAAACCCCAACAAAAAACCACCAAACAAGGCTAAATTATAATACCTATGCTAACTAGCCTATAAATCAGGAATCACTCCAATTAAGCTAGTAAATGAGATTCAGATCTCCTTATTGCAAGCATAAAAGGTTTCAATAACAGCAATAAGCATAAAAACTGTTACACCACTTTACTGGTTCTCAGTCTCCTCTAGACTATAAGACCTTATTAAAAGACATAAAGAAAGCAAAAGGGACTGTTCACCCCAAAAGGGACAGCTCCCATGTCCACATTTCCTCCCATTCATTACTTGCAGTCAGCATTCTGAAAAAGGAAGAACTGTGAAAAAGGAGTTTGCTGCTACAGCAGCTGTAAAGTGTTATTTACAAAACAGTTGTGACCACAATGTGATTTCAACCCAAAGCGGCTTTCCCTTAATCAGGTGAATTTGTGAAGTAAAAACTCTTCTGAAGAGTTTAATTATCCTTTTTATGATCATATAAAACACAAGCATAACACCCACCCTTCTTTTTTTAATATTGTACTTTATTTTGCAATAGGAGAATAGTATCTATAGAGAATAGAAAAATTCTCAATGTTTGAATACTTTAGTTTCACATTATCTGAAGCATTTGCATTTCTGTTCTACACAGATACCAACTTTAGCTATACAATGCTGATTATTACACATATGTATGTGTAATAATATCCAAGCTCATGAACACAGTGACATCTCAAGTGGCCTTTTGTTGTCATCCTGAGTGCAAAAAGTGCTTTTCAGCATACGAGGGAGACCTGTGGGTGTCTGACATTTTCCTGTGCCATTGTGATAGTTAAGGAACTAGACGAGGAATATATACAAGAACAAAATAATCAAGATAGCAGAATATTACTTACGAACAATACATTAGAAAGATGTACTACACAGCCTTATGGTATGAATTTCATGGACCATGTGTATCAAACAGCTGGGTTACTTTTTTATTGCTTTTACTGTGTAAAGGTATTGACAGGTGCTAGTCTTAGCAATGGCCCTAAAGGTAAAACACCTTAAACTTACATGGAGTGAAGCACATGTATACATGTGCTTCAGAGAACAGACTTGACTTGGAAATGCAGCTCATTGAGCACTATATCTTCAGCACCTTATTAATACCAGACCTTGTTCAAAACACCCCAGCATATAAAGGCAAGGCTTGCAGGAGAAGGCAGTCACTTTCATTAAGCTAGCACATAAATTAGTTGGAAGAAAAACTGAAGAGACAAGCTTTCAAGCATACAAGCTGTTTTAARAACTCAAGTCACAAGCTACCAGTACAAACTGAAAACATATCTTGCCTCTCATAAACCCTGGGGATAAAGAGTTTGCTGTTACAGCTGAGCTAACCTAATGGCTTCTTAGTGCAGGTATGGGAGGTTCTACTCTTCCCCATGTTCCATACTTGTCCCTTCAGGTTGCTCTGACACTGGTCTCAGTCAATTCAAAGAACTGTAGAAGCAGAAAATGGAATTTTCTTTCTTGTAGAGCTATTCTTATGTCAGTTGAGCTTCCTGAACTTGATTAGAAGAGGCTCAGAAGCGCATGAGTGCTGGTACAGGGAGAAGGAAGAAATGTACAAGGAAAAGACAGGTGTGGGACTATACATGTCAGTGGCTACTAGCCATTAATTGGCTTAGCTGCAATAGTCACCCYCTCTAGGAGGACAGCTTTATCAACACTGTTACTAAACGACTGGATAGTGCAATGGCTGATTTACTRAAAAATAAATTCAAAAGAAAGTAKAATATGTACATAAAATGGTAATAATTAGTACAAGTTGTTCCCCCGTATCACAGTAAATCTACTTCTCCCATCCCATCATTCCAGCAACTATTTCAGTAGTTCTGCACCACTGTGGTTCCACGAGGGGGAACCCAAATTTCTTGCACCATTTAAAAACAAAAGATATCTCTTCACCTCCCTGATGAAGCTGATTCAATAGTTTGCTTAGTGTGACATCTAGTGTCAAGACCCCAACACGGTTCAGGCAGTGACTAATCCACAGTTATTACAGATTCTGTTGTATGAAGGAGTATCATATCTGTCTTATTGCGGGGACCTTGATCCAAATAATGTCAGAATCAATTCAAAGGCAACAGACAATTTTTTTCAGAATATAAAACTACCACCAAAACAATCCCTGACTGTAYGTGCAGCTACTTAAATGGGGATGAGATACAAATGATACGGAAACGGCCTTATTATCATGAACTAAAATCAGGTGTGCTAAACAAATTACTGCCATGCATTAAAAAYGCTCATGTATTTGCAAGCTTTCCATCAGTGTTTCAAGGATAATGAAACTGAGATCCTTGGAACAACATTTTAACTTGGGTAGGAATGAAAGAAAAATTAATTAYAGTAAGATGAATTATTCACTGGAACAACCTACCCAGGGATATGGTAGAATCTCCACTGCTGGAAGTTTTCAAGATGTGACTGGACAACATGCTAGATAAGCTAATCTGGATGCATGAAACCTTTCCCACAAAACCCTTGACTAGATGACTTTTCAAGGTACCTTCCAACCTGGGCTGTTCTAAGATACTATTTGTTGAAAGCAGAATGTATTTGGTTAAGCTTTCAAGACGTTATTTAGTCCACCCAGACTGTTTCTGCTATTTTTACAAAGTATGATTTTGAAGAAAAATATAAGGAATTGTAAATATTKGTCATATCTCACCAGACAAGCAGCAGTGCTGCACAAATATGACGACAAAGCAAGAAGTATCACAGAATGAAGGCATTTCTGCTGTGTCTTGACTTCAAGAAAGAAGTTTAACTTACAGCATTTGCTACTCTGAAGGAATACCAACTTTACAATGGACTGRGCCATTAAAAAACTATTTTCTGGTGTAGAATAGGAGATGAAGCATTGGTTGAACTGCTCAGATATCAAATGGAGTAACTTGAAGTGGAATAATAAATATTTCATAATAAAAAGAAAGTTTACAGAAATTCCCAATAGCTTTAATTTTTTTTTCTGTATTGCACTAGGAATTATCATACTGAAGCAGATATGTGGTCTACAGAGTCCCATATCTTGTTCACAGCAGTGTGAGACAGTAAGTATTTCACAGGATCAAGCATGAATTTTCATAACAAACAGCTWGGAAATAAGCCCTCTATATCAGGAATATGAAATATTACCTGGTACACTGATTTCCTRGAACAAATCTAAGATTATCTATGTGGTGTTCTAAGTTCCCTTGGGTTCAGGAAACATGGAAGAATGTACTATTGGTTTCTGTTAATTAAAAGTCTATTTTGTTTAATAAATTCATGAAGTTAGATTCAAAACTATTACACAGTAACATGGAAACTCAACCTACCCTGATCCCAGGGTTGGGAAGTCTGTCTGTGCTGCTTATTCCAGGAAACAGGAAAACAGAGAGAACTGCTGCTTTATATACAACATCTGATTTAAGGTGCTTTCCTAGATGTTCTTAGTTACTGCCAGAACCYAGATAGTAGGTGGGTCTTCAGTGTGACATAGTGCAACCAATCTGATGTTGAATTAAAATCAATCACTTCAAAATTTTCTTTTTTCTTTTCTGCATGCATATGCTCCTTTTCCAAGACAACTTGGCTTGTTCCAACTGTGCTCATTTTTAGACAATAATAATCCTAAAAATAYATAATCATGACGATGATATAACTATTCAAAATAGACATCACACAACCTTATCGAGTCAGGCTGCCTACACAACAAAAATCATTCACATAATTATGCTCTGTGAAGATAGTTATGATGATGATACAGTCAGTATGTTAACAAGCCAGTATCAATTACACATCAATTTTTATTGGTATATGAACCAAGATGTTATAAGGCCTATATAAAAAGGACATCACATCATGAAGAAGTCCATAGAAATCCACACAGATACAATGCTGGCAGCACGTTTCRCAGACAAAAGCAACAGCTGCAAAAAGATATGTCTTGTTTACTTATTAGGAAATATGAAGGGCTGCAACACACACTCTTGTTYGTCTCCTAAACTTTTTCCAACAGCATTCCTTATTTTCATATAAGCCAATGTCAGCTGGGCAAGAAAATACCTATGGCTACAGAAAATATATACATTTGGTGACACTAAACTGAGTGCTCAGAGAGGCTAAAACCTCTAAGCAAAAGAGACTTGAAGTGAGATTGCCACTGCAAGCCTACWACACCAGTAACTGTTTGGTAACAAATGATCTTATTACTCACAAGCAGCTCTCTAATGGCTATTGGATAGAATGCTATTTATTGCAAAAGCAAAACAGAATGTAAATATGGTTATCTCACAGGCAAAAATGGAATGGCCTGAGAGAGCTCTGTTTCAAGAAACTCATTGYTGCAACCATAAAAATGCTGCAAAATACAGCAGCATTACAATTCCAATAGATCAACAGCTAGTTATTACACAAAACCAGATTCTTCTCAGAATGCTCTTGTTATGATAGTTTGAGAATGTACGAGGCAAAGCTTTTAGGAAATCTGTGAAAGCTGTACCCTTTATCAGACCTAATAGCAYTGGGGAAAAAAATGGGAAATATTTTTGACACAGAGACACCTCTTTCAGAGTCTGAAAGAGAAGCACTAAACTTTGACATTAAAGTTGAGAACACTTGTGCACACAAGTRTGCAGTTGCACAGATGGGTGAGTGCCCTTGTCTACATCCGATTGTTCTGAGCATTCCCATCCTTTCCTATTTGGTAGCATTTGGGTGATCAAATGATAATCCAGGTTAGGGATTTTAAAACTGATCCAGCTCAAGATCTAGCTCTTACTTCATCTGTACGTTCCAAAATCAGTCCCATAAATCAGCTCCCCCATCACTACTACATCAGGGCTACCGGGAGTGTAAGAGAAGGAAGAAATACAATGCTGGGGAAAGGTGGGCCTGCTCCTTTCAGCAACAACCTTCAYTTATGTAAATTCAAACACATCTTAGAAACCCATTCCAAATGTAACTAGAAATGGCTAGTTAATTGGCTGGACCGTCTGAAAGAAAATGTAGTTACGTACTCATGACTGGATGGAAAAAAAAAGAGAGAACAAGGAAACTTCCCTCCTCTGAGAAACAGACAAAAATAATTCAGTGTCCAGGGAACAGAGCAGATGCGAATAATTATTGAKTCTTATATAGGATTATAAAACTAACATCTCTGTTGAACTTGTTATTTTTAGTAACTAGCAATTAATTTTAATTCAYCTTTTAAAGATATTCTGTGGATCCTTTATGAGAACTGAGTAGTAATAGGTTTTTTTCTTAATGGTAACTACATATTTGCAGACTTCGCTTTTTGCCTGTGAGTTTTCACTGAGGACTAATTAAGTTTCAGGTAAAGTCTTCACAAGGACATTTTGTACTGAAATACTATTGGAAATAAGTATAGGGACAGGGAGTACCTAGGGTCCATGTGTTARTACATGTTGTTCTACTGTCTGAAATCTAGTGTGACAGTTTCACTGGGTGACAATGAAAGCTGGAATGATGAGAAGGGAATTCATGTTGTGTAGTTAGTAGTCATGGCAAGTAAACCGCTAATGTGCATAAGCATGACTTGAGAAACCTTAAACCTTTGGCTGACAGAAATTGTATTGGATTGTGGATCCTTTCTGTGAAGAAACCACAAGGCAATTTATTGACTTTAAAAACAAGCCTAGCACCTTGTCCATAATTTGAATGCTTCCCAAGCTTATGAGGGTAAAACATCTATGAATTCTTAAGATGGTACACTAAYCTATCTAGTGGCCAATGAAAATTATTAATTATTTTCACACACTTTACCAACTGAACACTTACCCACTGTGGCAGAAGCTGATGACAGAAGAGACTTTCCCCAGGTACCCCAAGCTCCCCATCTACTTGCTTTAGCTGAGGAGTCTGCAGCCTATAAGAATAAAAACATTACTCCACTGTCTAAAAATCTTGTTCTCGAAAGGCAGGAAGAAACAAAGAAGCCAACAGGCAACAAAGTCTGGCATTTAATAGATGATGATGGATTGGATATTACATGGAGTTCAAGCTTCTGCGCACAAGAAAGCAGAACATGAAGCATTGTTCACATCTCCTATTCCTGGAAGTGCCTTAAACTCCAGAGGTGTCTTTACAGAGGTCCTAATACTTCTTTAGGCACTCAATCCTATAAAGCTATACAAGTTTATTAAGGCTAATATTAGGGAGAGGCAGGAACCTGTCTCCTTCCTGGGTTGTACCAGGAGCCAGAGTTAGAGGCTTCTCTTCCAGAGTCTCCTCACTTGTAATTCACTAGATGTGCACAGGGAACTCCTAACAACTGAGTTCAATAAAAACACAGCCAGAAGTGGTGTTGCACACCTTTTACGTTAATGTGTAGTGTTAAGCAATTATCAGTATTCTGTATTTAAATCATGTTAAAAACTTGTTGTCTCAAKAAAGTCTCCAGTAACGTATCATCTCTACATAATGCAAGTTTTATTACAACCAGACTCAAAAGACAAATTAATATCGTAGTGGCAAAGAAAAATTAAACTACTTCTAGTTTTCAAAACCTTGGTGTTGCAATTTCATTTATCCCTATACAGGTTTTCCGTAACTCCCTAGGTTTTTGTGAAAGACGTTATGCACAAAATACAAAATTCTGTCCTTACAATGCAGGGAGGGGAGGGCTTTTACAGAAAAGAAAATGTTACTTACTGGACTGCTTTGTTCATGCAGTGTTTCTTCCAATTCAGGTTCTGCATCAAGGCTTACAGTTTCAATGCACTCGGTGGGCAAGTCTTCAGCTGTCTCTTCACTGGAAGGTATATTTTCAACTGGTTTTTCTGTCAAAGGGTTTTCATTAATTAATATGTCTCCTTCCTGTCTGTTACTGACATTCTGAGTGACCTGTCCATGTTCATCTTGTGAAGACCCATGCAAGATATCAKCTTCTACAAGGTGTGGTACAGAGTCGTGAGACAATACTTCATTGCTGGGCATTGCCATTACTTCAGGTTTTTCTTCAGACAGGGTCCCATCAGATATGTCTTCAGACATTTTCAGTTCTGAATACAGAAAACAAAGTCTTTTAGGTTCCATTAAAATTTGAGCGACTATAAAATAGTGTTTACTATACGCTAGTGTTGAAAACAACAGCCTTGATCTAAAACCTCCTAAAGCATGGAGCCCTGAGGCACATGCATCATGCTGGTATCAGCATAATACTGGAAATACTCTATTCATGCTGCAGGATCCCACTCAAGTATGAAGAGCAGTGTTACTGTTTTCCAAAATATGGTTTAGTGAGGGAGAAAGGATATTCATTTGTCTGGAGAAGTCAAATGTAAGAGTTTCCACATGGCTAATTTCTATATTCACTATCAGCTGTGTACAAAAGACCACTGCAGAACAGAATAATCTGAGTTGCAATAGACAAGCAGCTCTTGCTCTCCCTTTCATCACTGCCACATACACCTACAGCCTGCTGACTGATGGAGGGGAGGATAACACCTGTGACTAAAACTGTGGGGATATTTATGTGCTGGAGAAGGGGCATAATTTGTGAACATGACAGGCCATGGTCCCTAGAGCCGTTTCATAGAGAGTCATTGCTCACACTGTTTCTGTATCACCTGTCTCAAAGGCTTGCTCCTAAAATTCCAGCTGTGTGATTAAACATCAATTTTAAAGCCAAGGTAAACTTGTATGAGGTACAGTTATTGATTTTTCTTGTGGTAAGTTAAGAAATTTTATTCCTTATCTTCCAATGTAACTTTGAAGCTATTTTCTACCACTGTGTAGTCATCAGGCTGAGGATTCACGAAGGCAAAGAAATGCAGAGCAAGCTCCTGAGTAAGGAGTGGCACTGTCAGAGTCCAAAAGGACTACTTTTCCATGGTTACTAACACTTATTCGTTGGTAACAACGCTATACTTGGCACTCAAAAGACAATCCTTGACAGAGAGCTTGCAGACTCCTCACTATGCACTGAGTTGCATGCCATAAAATAAACTCATACAGTCCTCTCTGCAGACGTTGTCTTTTCATTGACTCTGATACTACTTAAATATGCCTCAAAGGTTTGCAACTGTCAGGAGGAATGGAGGTTCTATGAGAGACTGAAGAACAGGGGAGAAAAAAGWCAAAAAGCAAAATATAACTGGGATTTAGGAGAAATTTGCCTGAGAAGCATGTATTTAAATTAAWATATTTTATTAAAGTCTATAAAACTGTATATATCTGTAGCTTAATTTCTAAGGATACCTTAATTGTCCTTAGAAAGTATGCATTCACAACTCAGAAACTTTGCATTTGACAGTTTTCCATTAAAAATACAGCAAATATTAAAAAATGCTTTAGTGTAGGGAAATATTGCTACTGTTTAACAGTAGCCATTGTGTGATAGGCAGCATCACCTAAAGAAAATGTAAACCAAATTCCATCGTCAGACAGGAGGGTCCTCTACCAAAACCTGTAAAACCTGTACACACGTACTTCATAATTTTGTATGGGCATTACCTCAGAGTAAGCCCAGCACTTTTTAAAGGATCACACAGAGATAGGCGCATGGATTTTTGCAGTACTGGGTCATCTTTGGGTACCACTCGGCCACGGCCCCTGCAGTTATCTGTTGAACCTTCCTTAACAGGAGCACAGCACGCAACAGCAAATTACCGCGTCTGTMAGAACACACGAGCCGGGCTGCACCGGGGTCAGCGTCATTCAACCTCTGGTCCGTGACTCTATCCTGATCCAAATCAACTCGGGCAGCTCCGCCCAAAGGGAATTACTCTACGGGGAGTTCGTGAGGGAGATGCTAAGGCCAGCCCGGGACCGGTGGCAGGGGAGTGCCCGGCCCGCACGGACCAGCCGCGCCCAGGGGGCCGGCGCTGGCGGCACCTGCCGAGCATCCACCTGAGGAGTTCCATCTCGCCYCGGTAGCAAAGCCCAGCCGCCGCCGGACGCCTTCGGGCACGAAKCACCGTCCCCGAGCGGGAGAGAAGAATAACTCTTTTGGCGATGGCACCGCGCTCCCCTCTCGTTCGACGCCCGCTGTCGCTTCTCCTCCACGGCATGCTGTGGGCACGGCGAACGCGGACGAACCCCTGTGGCAGCTCCCCCTGCCTCTCTGCCCTCTGCTCTCTGCCCCAGGCAGGGCAGGAGCAGCCGGGGCGCCGCTCCCGCAASCCCGCAGCGGTCACAACTTCCCCCTTTTATTTCTTTTCCCCTTTTCGAAATTCCCCTCTGGGACAGAGCCGTGTGGTGAAGCCGGTGTCAAAAGCGGCAGAAAAAGCAGAAATCGCCGCGCTCCTTACCGCTCAGCAGTGCCCCGGCCGGCGCGCCCCCGGCTCCTTCCCTTCCCCGCCCCGCCACGTCGGCAGCGGCGGGGGGAGGAGGCAGAGCGGGCCGGGCAGCCCAGGACGGCCGGCCCCAGGGAGGAGGGAGGGCTGCCTTTGTCCCCGGCTCTGCTTCCGGCTGGCTGCGCCGGCCGCTTGTTACGAATGGGCCAAGCCGCCCCGGGCTCCAGGCTGCGCTGACCCAGCGTGGGGAGCCGCCCCGGCCGCCATTCCTGCCCCTCACGGCCTCAGCGCGGGTCGGGGGCCGTGAAGGGCCGGGCGGGACGCCTCGCTGGACGCGGCTGCAGCAGCGCTTCCCTCGGGACCGGCGGMACCCTCCGCGTCCGCGCTGGGACAGAAAAGGGTACTTTTCATGGAATCATGGAATGTGCTGAGTTGGAAGGATCGACGAGTCCAACTCCTGTCCCTGTGCAGGACACCCCAAAAGAATCACACCACGTGCCTGAGAGCGTTGTCTCCAAACGCTTCGTGGACTCGGACTTGGCTTGGTGCTGTTGCTTCTTCCCTGGGGAGCGTGTTCCAGTGCTCAGCCACCCTCTGACAGGAAAAGTCTAAATGAACTTAGTTGCTGAGCTGGCATGMAAATCTGTTATTTTCTTTTTACAAAGTCTGATCCTTCCTCAGAATGTACACTTAGTGACCCCCGGGTTTGTGGAATTAAATAACCGCGATGTGACTTTTCCGATACCGCTCTGCGCCTTCATTATCGCTGTGTTACAGGAAACGCACCTGACAGAAGCCGGCGGTKCGCGCACACATTTCCAGTCAGTTGGTGAAACACTCGGTTGTGCAATGGGTTTGTAGGCTGTTCCCAACACCCTGTAGTTCTCGTTTCTGTGTAATTCCTCATACCCATTCCTCTTTTTTGCCACCTCATTTTAAGGGGAAGTATGCCCTTTGCAGTGGKAAAAGGCATTTCCACCATTCGTCAAAGCATAATTTCTGTCACTAGTCTGCCAAAGAAAGAAATTACTTTTGCTGCAGGAGGCAAACTATCACTAAAGGGAGCTACTCCAAGAGGTCGCAGAATAAAGCCCCAGTTCTTAGAAGTGTGCTTCACAAATACGGATCGTACTATGTGACTTAACATTTATCTGGCAAAAGTGTCTGAAGTTTCTCATTAAGGTAGGTGGTAGCAGAACAAATGTTTGTATCCCTACATAGTAGTTCCTTTTGAAGGTCTTTCAGTGTGAAATTAAGTGTCAGGGAATACTGGTTAATTTATTGATGTTAGATACATTTATTGAAAATGAAATCTAGAGGGGTCCTAGGGATTTCCCTCTGCTTTTCAGTGGAGCTTGTGGACAAATAAGAGCAGGGTTTTAGTAGGAATCCTGGTAGCTGGAGATTGTTTAACCCATGACAGATGATAATTTTGACTGTAATGTGCATCTTGCACTGTCAGTTTTGCAGTTTCTGTACATAACCGTGCATGTTACAGAACTGCAATACATTGTTAATCACTGTTGTAACCCAAAGTTATTACTTCATGGTGAAATTAGCATTGTGTATACATGAATGTGCATGTGTCTGTTTGGGGAGAAGGATGTATACATTTTGTAAGTTCCTAAACTACTTTTTTGAATTTAACACTTGCATTTTCTAGGTTTTTTCTCTTTTGATTTTCAGAAATTAATTTCACTTTTATTGTCTCACTATGGGAATACTGCCAATGGTTTTGGAATAAATACATGCTAGAGATTGAACACTTCCACTCATCTCAGATTTCACTGATGTTTGTTATTACTCTGTCATCATCTTTCTAATGGGTTTCAGAAAAGATACCTGCCTTTTAATAAATAGATTAATACATATAAAAATGGAAAGACATTTGGCTAATTTTAACAGAACATGGAAGTATGCATGACATTCATGGACTGTATGAATCATTTCCACTGGTAAATCTGAGTGGTGAATCTGAAGGGCTAATGGTATGCAACTGATGGTAATATGCTTATTTTGCTGTTTAACGTGTGGTTCATTGTCTTTGTAGTATATAGGCATTCAAACAATGCCAAAGGCCACCTGAATTGAAGAGATCCTCTGGAAAGAGAGTCCCCACCTTACAGCAGTTATTACACGGTACCAATTGTACATCTGGTTCTGTATTCAGAATTTGTAGGCTGTATTCAGGCAGCTCAGCTGTTACATTATGAAACAGGAATGAATATTTGGGAGAAGCACGGTTTTAGGATTACCTTAGGATTTTATCTCACCCTAAGGATGGATAGCAAAATCTTTGCAGCTAAGAGCAGGCAATGGTGAGGTTTGTATGTAACATTATTATGTCATTTGGAAATCAGCTGTGAATAGTCTGGTATGAATTGACAGAAATGGAGAATGAACCATAAAATCTGTAAGATATCTTATAATCTATAAGATTCATTAGCGTTATAAGCAGACAATTTTCCATATTCTRTTGCTTACTACCTGTCCTGTCTTTCCACTTAATTTTTGGATGACCTCTTTTCACATGTGGCTGAGGTCTACCGAATAAGCCTTAAAGTGAAAAAGTAATTTTTTAGATTATTTCTTCTGCTTCCTGAATCATTGAAATGTTAAATCATGCATGTGTTTTGGTATGCTAACCCAGAAAGGTAGCTTGTATTGTGGCAGTTCTGTATTTAGATCTCAGCTATAGTGGAATTTCTGACCAACATTATACAGAAATAAAGAGAGACTGGTTTATGTGTTTGCCATGACATTAACCCTAAGTTTGGGCATTCAGTACCAAAGTCACTGCTCTGCTTTAATTTAAAAAAAAACAACAAACCAAACCCCACTCACTGTTTCCATGGTCACTGTTTAACCCAACCACAACACTGCTGGAGCCGGAGAGATTATTTTTCCATTTCTGTTAAATGGAAATTAAATTGAGACAAACGACACTTTTATAAACCAGCCTTGATAAGAACCTGACAATTATATTGGTATAGCAAAATGGACAAAAATATTACAGTAATGCATGTAGACTTAGATCATTATTAAGTTCCGAGAGGAAGATGTTTGAATTTCAGTGTAAAGTTTGTTCAAAAGAAGTACTTATTTTCATATTAATTTGATGAAGATAGAAAGTTGGTAAGAAGATTCATTTTTCTCCTGTTTAATATAATGCAAAGCATAAAAGAAAAAAGTTCAATAATAATATAATAGTGGGGATATTACAGTAATGTTGTACGTGGAAAATACATCTGGAGAAAAGCAAATGCCATTTCACAAGCTGTCGGTAGATGGCACAAACATTAATATAAACATTTGGGCGTTCCTAAGTATTGTTACGCAATAGGATAGAGTTATGGGAAGRTATATTTTTCCTGAATACGTTTTCTGGAGAGCAGGGATTTCTGGTGAGAAAATTTTACCTTTTTTGCTTTATGCTGTTGCTAGTTCACTAGAATTGTTTTCTATTCTCCTTCTTATTTGCCAATGAGCCTTTTTTTTCCATAGCAAGTGTACAAAGTTCTTTCAAGTGTATGGGTAAGCAACGATGGTAAAGTTGCTTGTGTTCGGAACATTGCTTCAAAGGAACTGTCCAAGTAGCAGTCTCTTTTTATTAGCATTACACCCCTAGTTAAGGGAGGTCGAGTGATTTAGTGGCARTTGTTTTTCTACAGTTCAGGAACGGGTCTAACTTGTGAAAGTTATTCTTGTGAAAGGCATCTTTGTAACGCTAGAGTTTTGTGCTATGCTGATTACTTGTGAGGTACATGCCTTCATAGTGAACTCTTATAGCTAAATATATTCTGTATATGAAAGTTTAGCCAGTTTACACCAATTTTATATTGGAAAAACTCTTAAAACCTCAGTATTTAACTCTCACTCTTTAAAGAACAGGACACTTCCTTGCTATGCTCTTGGCATGCTTGCTCTCCTGGATTGCTTTTCTTGATTAAGCTCTTTTTATCAAGTTTGAAGACATGAGGACACTTTTGAATTAAAAGGGATATGATTATAACAAATAATTTCTACACTATTAGCACCCAAATCACAGGTTGTATATTATGAAAGTTTTTACTTTTGTTGTTTCATAGGATATTCTAAAGAAAGATTGAAGGTACTCATAAATAATTTGAATACTAGGATATGTATGAGAATGAGAAAGAAAATAAAACACAAGTGGAAGAATCATAKTCTTTTTCATCTAGTCCATGGATATTGCTGAAATTTTATCCCAAGAAGGAATAATGATTTGAAAGTAGATTTTTTTTTCAGAGTTCTCTTGAAACTACATGTTTTGTTTAATTATGAACACATTAGTAGAGTTGCCCAAACAATCTTTTCTCAGAAGAGACTGAGGGTGCCCAAATGCCTTTTGAGGGCTGTGATGCATATAACTTGTGCAAATGAAAATATGGGAAAAGGCTGGAAAAGTTTTGCCWTATTACTCCACTATTTCTAGTTAATTTCCAAGCTTAGTTTCATGCATTCTTTGCAAAATAACTCAATGGCCTTATTTTTTTTAATTGTTAGATCAAGTGTAATGTGTATTTTGCACTCAGTAATTCTGAGATAGCTTGGGAAATGGTTAAYGGTGCAGTGAATGTAGTCTTGGAAGCTGTAAATCAGTCCAACGGGTGACAGCTACTGTCTCATTGTAGAGTCATTARAAATATAAACTCACTATTTAGCCACTTCAGTATCAAGAGAAAGTTCAAGACCAGTACAGTCATTAATAAGCACTATGGAAAGTGCAACAGGCACTTGTTTCAGGCAACAACTATGATTTAAAATTAATGGGGGAGTAGGGGAAAGAATTAGAAATAAAAAGATATTCCAGAAATATGAAAAACAACTYAAATTAAAGATTTACACATGTAAAAGTGTTAACCAAGTTCTTACCAGTYCCTCTTTTAGAGGAGTGGTATAATGGATTTATGCAATATCTAAAAGGAGTCAGAATGGCTGACTCAAACAAAGGGAGGTTGGCTACCCTGAATTCTTATATTCAGACAGAAAAAGTTACCTCTGTTAGGGAAAACTAAAGCAAAGACACTTTTTTTTCCTTTGAAGTATGTTTAAATAAAGCTCTCTTTCACAACAGTGGTGTTTGAGGTCAGTRTCCTTAGAGGTGAGCTGGATTTTGTATACAGAGGTTCTACAACTGATATATTTTCGTGTAGCATGCAAATATTCCTAGTGTATGTCTGGTGTTGTCTGTGTCACTTTGAGTCTAAATTCAGGAAATGCTGAAGCTCAGACTAGAAGTGAACTCTCCTGTGAACTTTCACAAGGCATAAATATAGAACATTCTACCCTTACCCCCGTTTCCCCAGTTAAAAGCAGCACTGATGATCCAATCTCAGCTACCTAAGGAAATGCAGCTTTTGATTCAGGCTCTTGAATATCCATTGTATGTTCCAGTCCACGTATTATAGTAAAAAGTTCATTTTTAAATTATGTCTCTGAATGTAGTTCAAATCCCTTAAGAGATAATCTGAGGAGAGGATGACTGTGCTGMACTCTATTATTGTACCTTCTAATCAAAGTGTATTACACAATTGTGGGAAACCTTCATAACACACTGAATCACTGCAGTAATTCTGTCAGTAAGCAGCAAATTTTAGACACCTATAAAATTAGACCTTTTGTGAAAAATGGACTCATTATATGTTAAATACACCATATTTACCAAATAAAATTTCAGTGATGTTCTGTTCATAARGAATGTCCCTCCTGAATGATTGCAGGTACCTTCATTGCTTTTTGACTCAAAAGGAGAAATGAGAAATTGGAACCTTAAAAAAAAAAAAAATCTCTATCTGATTTTTGCTTTTGTTTTTTTTTTTTTTTTTTTTTTTTTTTTTTTGTTTTGTTTTCCAACAGGATTAGAACAAAGATGGACAGTTGAGAAAAGTATTGAGCATCTCCAAGGAATCAGAAAGCAGTATGACACAAATTATGATCTTTCTCAGAAACTTTTTTCTTTGCAAGTGTTTGTTTGCATTAACTGTTTGGAACTGTGTCAGCCTGTCTTTGGAAGAGGAACTCCTTCCATTTGTTTCTAACAATTTTCCAGAAGATGGTTCTAACAAAAAAATCGAGAGTCTTCCACTCCTGTATGCAAGTAATCATCAGCCCAAAGCAAATTCTGATTGGGTTGTGATAAAAAATACTACAGAAAGCCTGTCATTGTCAGAAATCACAGATGAAAATATAAAAAAATTGGTAGCTTTATTATCTCATTTCAGACAAGGATCCAGGTTACAAAATCTGACACTGACAAATGTGTCAGTGGAATGGAATGCTCTTATGGAAATTTTTCAGACTGTATGGCACTCATCCATTGAATACTTCAATATTAACAATGTAACGCAATTGTCAGAGGTTGACAGATATGACTTTGACTATTCAGGTACCTCTATGAAAGCATTGACAGTGAGCAAAATTTTAATCACAGACATGTACTTCACACAGGATGATCTATATAGAATATTTGCAGATATGAATATTGCATACATGACAATAGCTGATTCAGAGATGATTCATATGCTTTGTCCTTCATCTAGGAGTCCCTTTAGATACCTAAATTTTTTTAAGAATGATTTAACAGATTTTCTTTTTCAAAATTGTGACAATCTACCTCAGCTGGAGACATTAATCTTGCAGAAGAATAAATTTGAGAGCCTTCTCAAGGTAAGCTTCATGACCAGCCCTATGAAATCACTGAAATACCTGGACATGAGCAACAATCTGCTGCGCCATGATGGAGCTGATGTGCAGTGCCAGTGGGCTGAGTCTCTGACAGAGCTGGACCTGTCCTCAAATCAGTTGGTGGATGCTGTGTTTGAGTGCTTGCCAGTCAACATCAAAAAACTCAGCCTACGGAACAATCAGATCAGCAATGTCCCCAGGGGGGTGGCGGAGCTGAAGTCCTTGGAAGAGCTGCACCTGGCGTCGAACAGGCTGGCTGACCTGCCGGGATGCGGTGGCTTTCCGTCCCTGCAGCTCCTGAACGTGGAGATGAACTCGATCCTGAGCCCGTCTGCCCACTTCTTCCAGAGCTGCCCAAGGGTCAGGGAGCTGCAGGCCGGGCACAACCCRTTCAAGTGTTCCTGTGAGCTGCAGGACTTTATCCGGCTGGAGAGGCGGTCAGGGGGGAGGCTGTTTGGCTGGCCGGCGGCGTACGTGTGCGAGTACCCGGAAGGCTTGCGAGGAACGGAGCTCAAGGACTTCCACCTGAGCCAACTGGCTTGCAACACGACGCTGCTGCTGGTGACGGCTCTGCTGCTGACGCTGGTGCTGGTGGCCGTGGTGGCSTTTCTGTGCATCTACCTGGACGTGCCGTGGTACGTGCGGATGATGTGGCAGTGGACGCAGACCAAGCGCAGAGCTTGGCACAGCCCCGCCGGAGAGGAGGGCACCGCTCTGCAGTTCCACGCGTTCATTTCCTACAGCGAGCRCGATTCGGTGTGGGTGAAGAACGAGCTGATCCCGAACCTGGAGAAGGGGGAGAGCTGCATACAGCTGTGCCAGCACGAGAGGAACTTTATTCCTGGCAAGAGCATTGTGGAGAACATCATTAACTGCATTGAGAAGAGCTACAAGTCGATCTTTGTGTTGTCTCCCAACTTTGTGCAGAGTGAGTGGTGTCACTATGAGCTGTACTTTGCCCATCACAAGTTATTCAGTGAGACTTCCAACAGCTTAATTCTCATCTTGCTGGAGCCAATCCCTCCGTACGTTATCCCTGCCAGGTATCACAAGCTGAAGGCTCTCATGGCAAAGCGCACCTACCTGGAGTGGCCGAAGGAGAGGAGCAAGCGTGCCCTGTTCTGGGCTAACCTGAGGGCAGCCATCAGCGTTAACCTGCCAACAGCTGATGAAAACAGGTGTGGGGAAACAGATTCTTTCTAATGGAATTTCTTCTGATTTTTTTTTTTTTTTTAGTGAGGCAATAAATATGATTTTTAGTCATTGTCAGTGTGTTTAACTTTTTGTTACATAGTCTTCTAACTAGTTGTCTGTGTTGCCTCCTAACTGTAGTCAAAATTCAGTTGACCTTATTATAAATATCTTGAGATAGCAAACTGCAAATTAATTTGAATGTGGATTTTGAAATACGACTTGAAATATTGCAATGAGTTTTTCTCAGAATTAAATCTGAAATAGTTTGTATAGTCATTTGGAAGAACGCTTGAACTGCTGGATAGTTTGCAGAGCTGCTTTAATCATGAAATTTAGACAGCTTTGTCAAAGGATATCTTTTGCTAAAATTATTTTGCATGAAAGAAAATTAGGCATCCTGAGAAGACACCTGAAGTCCAGGGCTCAAAATGGTTCCAAAATAGTCTTTGCTCAGATTTGGTGAAGATTAAAAGGATAGGACCCAGATGCAGAACTTTGTGAACTTGCCAAAAACAAGGACTGAGCAAGGAAGAAAGCTTTTGGCATTTTTTCTTAAGAAAAGGGGRAAAAAAAGAGTTGAGCTACTTCACTTTTTGGGGCTCATAGCTTGGCATTGGGAGAAGCAGTGAATTGACATTCAGAGTTCTAATACCCACAGAGTTCTGGTACCATTTTGATCCAGAGAAGTACCCTGTCCCGAGGGAGTGGGAGGGTATCTGCAGTAACAGAACTGCCTTCATCATAATGTCTATGTTTTGAGAACCTCCTGTCATCCCTAAATTATGCTTTTTTCCTCCCCAGATTTCTACTTTTTTTTTTCTTCTCATCTGTATTTACTTTATGCTTATTATTAAAATAATCTGTCCTTTTTAGCTGGAAAAGTATCTCTTTTACCACAGCTATGACTTGTGATCAGAAAGTCAATAGCCAGTCAGAGCCTGAAAAAATTCCCAAGCCAGGTCTTGGGAAAGCAGGTAAGACTTTATTTCCTGAGTTAGAAAAACAAACTACATTTGCAGTATTTGTTTTCCTTTATGGAAATATAGCAGACCACTCTGTCTGTACTTATGCTGTTTGGCTTCAAGGAAGCGTGGCTGGGCTCAGACAAACATTCATAACTGCTAAAGATGATGACAGCAAACTTCCTCATTGCCCCAACAAGGGAAGATTGTTTGAAATACCAGACCTAGATTCAAGAATCTGTTTCAGATTCAAGGATGTGTTTCAGCATAAAAATGAGAGAAGGGATGTTAGGATGAAATCCTCATGTAGTGTAGAATGTTTGCATTTTGTCTTATTCTTGTCTTCCATTATTAGCAAAAGGTTGCTTTGCCTGAGGTCTAAGTAGGCTGAGATTTCTTGACCTGAAACCTTAAAATGAGTGACTGTGACCTATAGAGGAAAGGTCAACTTTAACACCTTTAGCTCTCTCATCTGACTTAGCCTCAAATTTAATGTAATGCACCTGTTACCAAATTGCAGACATTTAATTCAGGAAACAAATGTTTTCTCTGCTTCCTCCTTCCCCTCCAACTACTGCTTCAGTGTATGACTCATTTAACCCTTAGAAAACTGCAGATGCTCAGATTTAGCTTTGTTTGCCTACCCCTTTCTCACAACCAAGGCCAGATGAATTATGTAGTGTCTTGCTTGAAAATTCTGTTCAAAAGCCTCAGAGTTTTAGTCCAGTAACCCTTGAAACCTCTGTACTACAGTTAAAATCCCCTGTTGTGTGTAACCTTAAGAACTCATCTGGCTTCTTCTGTGGCTGGGGGACAGAGAAACATCTGCAAGACAGAGAGTGCACCAGGAACACTTCCTGTTACTCATGTGGGAGCACATGGCCATTACCCGAAATTAAGGAGTGGAAGGTTTTAGCAAGGCAAACAAGGTTTGCTTGCCACTTTGGAAAGAAYTTGGAGCTGTGTGACCTCAGGGATGTTGTGATAAGCAGAAGTATATAATTACAGTTCTCTGGTGATGCAGATTTCTGGATTCCAAAATCCTTGAGCAAATAAATTGAAAGGGTGGCTTTTAATGAGCATGGGCATCAATTAAAACTTGTACTTTGGAACCAGAAGCCTGGTCCTTTTTGCCATGATGTGTGTCAAATAATTGATAAAACAGCTAAAAGTGCAATGAATTATTACAGCTAGTTTCTCTGATTCCACAAGAGAGGATGAGTTTTTCAGGTGATATTAGAATATTTCCAGCAATTATCTCAGCCTCTGTCATACTCTCAACCCTTTCTATAAAACCAGTTTTAGTCCATGAAGAAATTTTTCCTGTACATGGGGCCATGTGTAGTCTCACAGCAAATCAGCCACTTTATCTGCAGATTTTGCAGAGTGACTAACCTTTTCTGGGCAGCCTGGTGATGTGTGCCTGCAGTTGGTACTGCACTGAAATCTGTAACTGCTACTGCACTCCAGTTATCTGGGAAAGGGAGTGTGCAAATGTGTTCTGATCTCAGATACTGTATCAGAGCAGGTTCCTGGCATTCGACTAGTCATCTTGGTGACTAGCAGGAATGCTATTTTTACATACATAAAAATATGAACATGCAAAACTGATAACACAGGAGTTAAACACCCTCCAAAATCTAAAAAATGTGCAGAATGAAATGAAAGTGTAAAAGTGTAAATGCTTTTATATGTATTTAAGTAGTATGTAGTCTAAAGGAAACTGAACTATGACAGATGGGAGACTTGACAGAATGTGAGTTGCCCTGCTAAGAGCTCAGCTCTCTTTTAGCTTTCAAAGTGTCTTCATTGAAGTTCAGCGGCAGAGGGTTAGAGCAAGTAAAGGCACTCAAGGGAAAATAATGGGACTCTGTGGGAGATTCTGCTGAGGAAAAGGTTCAAAATCTCTATGAAACCTATGTTTTACTCAGGGCTTTGGTTTGTATGGTTTTTTTTTTTGGAAATATTTGCTGAGATTGACTATAATGCTAATTTGTAGTCACTGTCAAGACAGCAGTATTTATAAGCAGTAAGTGAGAGAGTTGTGTGTTCTGCAAGGTGGCTCTGGGTTACCAGTTTGATTTCCACAGCTTTGGTCCTTGTATCTTTTCATACTGAAGCAAAACAGGCTTGAGCATCAATATGATACAGTCTCTGCTCACTTTGACTTGTAGTGGCATTTAGTTTTTGCTTCACCTACTTGACACACAGGGACAATGAGAATTGCAGTTGAACTAAAGCCCTTGATGTGACCCAAACCCCCTTTGTAAACCTTTAATTGAGTGCTTTGTAGAGTCCACCAGCTGTGACTATGCTTTTAGTCCCATGTAAGTTCCCTTCTGCAGTTCTCATCAGAGAGATTCTTCACACTTTTGGGATGATGCCGGTCTGGAAAAATTTTTGATACCTGGCCAAGTGTAGTTGTGGTTTCTCTTCGGGTAAATAATGATGATACACAGGCAGAAATGTGAAATGTCTTTTTGTGAACATTGATAAAACAAGCTGCAACCCCCCCAACAATATAAAATTCAGATGGAACAAAGTATCTGCATGAACGCATGTGAGTTGACTATGGAAAGGATGGTATGCAGCTGGTATGTTTCAAGGTGCATGAACAGAAATACATTGCTTTTAATTTTTGCCTATCATGAAAAATGACTGAATCAGTAAAGTGAAACTAGTCCCAAGCAAAACTTCCTTGAATTGATTAGTAACAATAAATCATTTAAAGTTCCTAATGGTTTAACAAAGGTATTCAGGAGTATCAGTTTATTTTAACTAATTGCAAATTTGTCTTTATGGCAAACTGTTTATTTGAATTTATTTTAAAGTCTTACAAAGAAGAGTGGTCAGAAAATTAAACATACTACAACCAAAGGGTGCTTTTAATAGCTGTATGTGCACTGGAGTCAGTTCTGATGGAAGCAAATGGTGTATTTGATTTTATCCATGTAGCAAAGTTTTTTCATTAATTACATTGGAAGTAAAGCTGCCACTGTTTTGCTTAATTGTGGTATCATCACTCTGTCAACAAGTGCCTTAGGGTATTCAGTTTCATGGGTTAATGCTTAGCAATAGGAGCGTCCCTTTTGACTTGAAGTCAAGACAGTAGCAGCTGGCAAACACTCTTGCTGCTTAGTGAGAAACATTCATGATCCTTGGTCTTGTTTTGGGTCACAAATGTCCCAGAGTTTTCTGTAGTGTATTACTCAATCCTCTGCACTAAGGAAAACAGAATAAGTTCAGTTCAGTTCAGTAATCAATCTCAAAATGAAAAATGTAGGTTTTCTTCCAGAAAAGCACAAGATTAAATTTTTTACAAAATTGAAAATGTAATTGCTAGAGAATAGCTTTAAGAGAATCTAATGCTAGCTTGAAATGTAGATAGAATGTAGCTATCTAGAATAGTTTCATGCTTTTCATCTTCTTTAGCAGTTATATTAGTCTGTAGCCTTATAGCAGTGAGCTTTGATTTTGGTTATTGTCATGGTTTAACCCCAGCCCATTACTAAGTACCACATAGCTGCTCACTCACTTCCCCACCATCCCCCACCCCCAATGGAGAGGAGAGCCAGAAAAAAGTAAATTTTGTAGGCTGAGGTAAGAGCAATTTAAGAATTGAAGCAAAGTACAATTTAGTAGTAGTAGTAGTAGTAGTAATAATAATAATGGTGATGATGATGATGAAAATTAGAGAAAGAGGCACAAAATGCAAGAGAAACATTTGATGAACAATACAATTGCTCATCCTATGCTGACAGATGCCTAGCCCATCCCTGAGCAGTGATCAGCCCTCTTGGCCAGCTTCTCCTCCCGTTTATATACTGACCTTGATGTTCTATGATATGGAATATCCCTTGGGCCAGTTCGGGTCAGCTGGCCTGGCCACACTCCCTCCTGCCTTCTTGCGCACCTCCTCACTGATAGAGCACGTGAAACTGTGAACTCCTAGACTGAGAGAAAGCAGTACCCAGGAACAGCTAAAACATCAGTGTGTTAACAACATTGTCCTCATACTGAAAGCAAAGCACAGCCTTGTACCAGCTGTGTTAAAATTACCTCTATCCTCGCCCTAAAAGGAACAGTTGTTTACATCTGCATTTGCACCACACCCATTCTCTGCGCTGTTGATTTTCTCCTGGGTTCATGTCATTGTTCACAATGCTAACTGAATGGCTGCTTTATTGGATTTGTTCAGCCCCAGATTGCCCTATATTGTCATATTCTTTGTGGCTTTATTACAGTTTTCTTCTCATAGGGAATAKTCTCTGTTAATTTTTAATAATTTTTTGGAGGAATCTACAATGTGAAGTATCCTTGATAGCCATTCTARTGTAAAGATGATTGACCTATAAAGGTTTTTAACTGTGCCAATTCGCCCTGGTTACTAGCTTTTGAGATATAAACTTTTGTCATCCATCAGTGTGCTACATTAATTACTCTGTTTGATGAGCAAAAATTTTGGCAGGGTAGAACTCTGCAAGAGATCTTGATATGGACAAAAGTTGGCAGTGAGGGTTCTGCTTTCTCTTTTCGGTGTGTGCAAAGAGGAGATACAGTTGACAGATTTCTAGAACATCTGTGTAACATCAGAGGCAGACTTGAAATTAGAAATGCAGAATTATTTAAACAATCCTGCCGAAGGAAGTATTCTGTACTGCAGATAGGCTTATTTGGTCCTAAATCATACAGTTATGTAAATATTACGGAACTAAATGCATTTTTAGTCTGAGCTGTTCACAGTTTCTTGTCACTGTGCTCTTAATACCTGCCCTGTAAGAAAATTTAATTAATTCTTAGAGTTGTATAACCTGTTTGAAAAAGCCCTGTTTTTTTTKACTTCCTGAGGTAATAATTATTGAGGAATTAGCATCTCATGTGAGATTTCCCACCTTGGAGATTACRTATGTTTGAAATTCTATTTTGAGTATGCTAAGCTAATATGCAGGGGACTTTTACTGTTTTGTCAACTTGGAGATGAATTCCATGCACTAAAGGTGGGTTAAATTTGCTTCAGTATTTATAATTTTTTCTCTTTCTTATGTATGTATCTTGGACTTCATCAGATCTCAGGTGCTGATGTTTCTTCACTGTTGGAAGGCAGTCTTGCATTTTGAAGCTTCAGTGAAAATGCTCATCTGTATGTTGAATTTCAGCAAAGAGGAAAGGAAGAAAAATAATTTGGTATGGCAGTTGTAATTCTCAGCCAGCTCTAATTTAATACCATTCTAAARTGGCATTGGAGGGGTAACCCTTGGTCCTTAATATTGCTTTGCAATGTTAYATTATTGCAATATTTTGCAGTATTATATTATCACATATTTGCTTCTCTTTGACTTGGCACACTGTAGGGCTATACAGTGTGGCTTATCCCTTGTTGCAGTGTGGCTTGTCCCTTGTTGCGGTGTCTAGCCTAGCATATACAGTAAATTAAAACCCATCTGGTGCAGGAGCATGGACAGAGAATGTACTTCTGTTTTTTTCTCCCTTCAGAGCATTTCTTCCTTTATTCCTGATGTCCCTTTTGTCCAGGGGGAAGTTCCTCCACGTAGTTCTATATCAAAGTTTATTTGATTCAAAGGTTGGATTTTTTATCAGTCTGGACTCTGAAGAACRGGATCAACTGCACTTTCAAGGATACTGGGCCAGATTTCCTTGTTTTGTTTTGTCTTGCAGTCGATACTGTACTTTGACCAGCCATCCCGGCTTCATTTCTTTCATGTCCTCGGACACTGTAACACAACTTACTGAGGGCATTATTTGATCTTTCTATTGGATTCAATTGAGGTAGAAATTKATGCTTTACTGATCTATTCTTTTATTGGTTTTGGTGATGTTAATTGCATATATTTTTGCTTTATGTAATAAAAAGAAAACTTGATTAAACCTGATAGGAGACTGATAGGAGGGGAAGTGTTGAGTTTTGATATCAGTTAGTCAAATTATTAGGGACTAACACACATTATAACCTACAACTGAAAAAATAGGCTTTTGGTTTCTATCTAGCAAAAGATTACACAGGGAATTTTAAAATTTTGAGGGGAATTTTAAAACTTTGAGGGGGAGATTGTTTTTTTAACAGACAAAATCAGCAGAAAATAACACTGGGGATGTTTGTCACCTGTTGAAACTGTTTATGAGATATTTATGCTTCAGGTTGTCTGTATGTTTTGTTTAATGCTTGACACAAAAGAGTAATGCCTAAGTCATGGTTTTTCAGGATAGGACTGACGCCTCTCCAAATCCATGTAGGCTATTGATAGGCATGACCAGATATTAGTTCAGCTGGACCATATCCTCTCTTCCTTTCTGTGTTTTTTGATCCTTAGGACTAGATTAATTGTTCCTCCCTGTTTCTAGAGAGGTTCTTTGTCAAGTTCCAGCCATCGGAAAATGTGGGAAATTTCCTAGGATACCTAGGAAATTCTGGAGTTTTTGSTAGTGTCTAGTGTTTTCTTTCAGATTTTGGTTATCATTGCTTCAGACATAGTCCAGTCATGGCGTGGTTTTACCATTAGTATGTTTTTGGTCAGATTGGCATTACAATAWTCATGAGTGTGGCGTGGTGACCTTGGCTGGGTGCCAGGTGTGCACCCAAGCCACTCCATCACTTCCCTCCTCAACTGGACAGAGAAGAAAATACATAAAATGAAAGGCTTGTGAGCCAGGTAAGGACAGGGAGAGATCACTGTCACAGGCAAAACAGACTCAACATGGCAAATTAATTGAGTTTATTACAATTTAATCAGAGTAGGATAATGAGAAATAAGACCAAATCCTAAAATACCTTCCTCCCAGACCTGCCTTCTTCCCTGGGCTCAGCTTCACTTCTAAATCCTCTGCTTCCTCTCCGAATGGCACAGAGGGTCAGGGAATGGGGGTTATGAATGAACTTGAACATTGTTTTGTTCTCCTTTGTTCGTAAATGCACTGATGTCACTTAGTGCCAGTTTTGTATTTTTCATGATTGTTGAGAAATTTGTATTTCTTAGCATCTGTGTGTTTTAACATACCAGTGGCATCCCGCCCATTATAAGGGAATTAATTTATATTTGACTGGGTCAATAATTAGAATTAAAGAAKGAGAATGAGGATGAATGATAAGAACTTAGAACAAGAATATGTAAAAATCATTTTTATTGAATAGATTTTACATTGAATTTTATTTTAGCAATTAAAATACCAACTTTAACAATTCCACAATTTTATCAAATTCTGTGTGTTTTCTTTTCGTAGGACTGGACTCAGCAGTGAGACATATTGAACAGAAAACAAAGATATGCTGCCGTGTTTCTGTAAAAAACCAAGATAAAGCTGGATAGCATAATGAGTTCCCCTGCAAATATCTATGTCTTTACTTGTGCCTTTGCATTCACACTATGGAATAATATCCAGCCAGCTGTAGAAAAGGAATTTATTGCAAATTGTTCAAGCAGTTTGCTAACTAATGTTCCAAAAAACATTCCAGTCCATACTCAGGTATTAGATTTATCATATAATAGGATCTCTGGACTTAGTCGCTCAGAATTTATGTATCTTTCTGACCTTCAGGTGTTAAATCTTTCTCATAATCTAATTACAGTGCTTGACTTTAGTGTCTTTGTTTTTAATGAAAATTTAGAATACTTGGACCTATCTCACAATAACATTTCAAAAGTTTGCTGCCTAACTCTTGAGTATCTTAGACATTTAGATCTTTCTTTCAATAAGTTTACTACCCTGCTCCTCTGTCAGGAATTTGGGAACATGTTTCGTTTGGAGTACCTTGGATTAAGTGCTATGATGATACGAAGGTCAGACTTCAGGTATATCAAACATTTGCAGCTGCACACTGTTTTCCTAACCTTGGAAAACTTTTCATTGTATGAGCCTCAGAGTCTGACAGTCCTGAATACAAGGAACCTCCACATTGCTTTTGCAGAAAACCAAAACTTCAGTTTTCCTCTCTTGTATGATGGGATGAGCACTTCAGAAAACTTAGAAATAGTTAACATAAGGTATTCTTTGAGCTACAAATATTTTCCCTCTCATCTTTTAATGCTTACAAAGAAAATCAAGACAACAGATCTCATGCTTGACACTGTGGATTTACAATGGGCTATGATTCTGCAAATTTTCCTGTTTATTTGGCATTCACCTGTGGAACATTTAACTGTGAGAAATTTGACTTTTCGGGGACCAGTGGAGGAGTTCACTGAACATGAATTTCTACCCTCATTAAGATCTCTGGGACAAATAATCTCTTTGGATGGATCCATGAAAGCATTAACTTTAGAGCATGTTCATAATAAGGTTTATTATTTCAACCAGGAGATTCTATACAGACAGTTTTCAGAGATGAATATTGCCAGTTTGACAATATATGATGCATATATGCCACACATGCTTTGCCCCAATAGAACAAGCTCATTTCAGTATTTAAATTTTTCTCACAATGCCCTGACAGATGAGTTGTTCCAGAATTGTGGCACCCTGATGGATCTGAAAATACTTATTTTGCAGAAGAATAAATTTGAGAGCCTTCYCAAGGTAAGCTTCATGACCAGCCCTATGAAATCACTGAAATACCTGGACGTGAGCAACAATCTGCTGCGCCATGATGGAGCTGATGTGCAGTGCCAGTGGGCTGAGTCTCTGACAGAGCTGGACCTGTCCTCAAATCAGTTGGTGGATGCTGTGTTTGAGTGCTTGCCAGTCAACATCAAAAAACTCAGCCTACGGAACAATCAGATCAGCAATGTCCCCAGGGGGGTGGCGGAGCTGAAGTCCTTGGAAGAGCTGAACCTGGCGTCGAACAGGCTGGCTGACCTGCCGGGATGCGGTGGCTTTCCGTCCCTGCAGCTCCTGAACGTGGAGATGAACTCGATCCTGAGCCCGTCTGCCCACTTCTTCCAGAGCTGCCCAAGGGTCAGGGAGCTGCAGGCCGGGCACAACCCGTTCAAGTGTTCCTGTGAGCTGCAGGACTTTATCCGGCTGGAGAGGCGGTCAGGGGGGAGGCTGTTTGGCTGGCCRGCGGCGTACGTGTGCGAGTACCCGGAAGGCTTGCGAGGAACGGAGCTCAAGGACTTCCACCTGAGCCAACTGGCTTGCAACACGACGCTGCTGCTGGTGACGGCTCTGCTGCTGACGCTGGTGCTGGTGGCCGTGGTGGCCTTTCTGTGCATCTACCTGGACGTGCCGTGGTACGTGCGGATGATGTGGCAGTGGACGCAGACCAAGCGCAGAGCTTGGCACAGCCCCGCCGGAGAGGAGGGCACCGCTCTGCAGTTCCACGCGTTCATTTCCTACAGCGAGCGCGATTCGGTGTGGGTGAAGAACGAGCTGATCCCGAACCTGGAGAAGGGGGAGAGCTGCATACAGCTGTGCCAGCACGAGAGGAACTTTATTCCTGGCAAGAGCATTGTGGAGAACATCATTAACTGCATTGAGAAGAGCTTCAAGTCGATCTTTGTGTTGTCTCCCAACTTTGTGCAGAGTGAGTGGTGTCACTATGAGCTGTACTTTGCCCATCACAAGTTATTCAGTGAGACTTCCAACAGCTTAATTCTCATCTTGCTGGAGCCAATCCCTCCGTACGTTATCCCTRCCAGGTATCACAAGCTGAAGGCTCTCATGGCAAAGCGCACCTACCTGGAGTGGCCGAAGGAGAGGAGCAAGCGTGCCCTGTTCTGGGCTAACCTGAGGGCAGCCATCAGCGTTAACCTGCCAACTTCCCATGAAGCAAATGAGGAGGAGAGTGATGTTACATCTACTAGTAGTATAAGTTATGTGAATAACTGACTTGACCATTTTGCATGAAACTCTGTTAATACTTTYTTCTAGTTTTTTACTATATTCCTAGTTTGTTGCAAAATGTAATTGTGATACACACAGAAATTGYAATTGCTTATTCTAGTCATCCAGGTATTCAGAAATCATCTGTAACTGCCCATCATTGACAAAGAAGAGAGAGACATTTTCACAGTGATTGAGCTTAAATGTGTGGAACTGCATTTATTTTGGACTTCTCCCATTGAAAGCTATATTTGAAAGTATAAAGAACAGTGGTTGGTTCCATGTCATCAGGCTGCCAAAGCATACATTTAATCTTTCTTCTGACATGGATGTTGTGGGATTGAGAATGTAGGGATCTGCTTTCTTTGATTTAATTAATTAACACAARGAAGAAAAAAGCTCTTGTTTGAATCTCATCCTGTACATTGGTATAGTAGATGTCAAGGGTACAGTATGTGCAGACCTTTATCCTGTTTTCCCATGCTGGAAGTCTTTCCCTTCATCACAGAGAGACTGGGTAAGTGCTGAAATGTTGCATCCATTAATCCTGGTTTAATGTTCTTCTTCCTTTGCTGTACTAAGCMTTCCCACTTGCCTAGAGATACCTGCCAAGTCATGATTTAATAGAATTTGCTATTCCTTGTCTTCAGATTCATAGTTAATATCTRAACTTCTTAATTTTTTATAATATCATAAAATTGCTGCTTTTTACTGTGATCCTGTCAAGCTATACTGGGTTCTATGTTTTTCCTGTTTTCTAAAACTTAGAAGCTTGATCTTTGGAGGTGAACCCCCATTTATCTCTGGGCCTCACTGAACTCTGTTAACTTGCTCTATTAATTGGTGGAGGCTGAGGGTCATCACACAGGGTAAAAAAGGACTAATTTTCCTTGGGAAATARTTTCTCTGTAAAATCTAACTGTTTAAACTAATGGTGTTTGTTGATAGGAGACATCTAGTAATTTGCTGTGCTTGGATTTGGCAGTTTAATAAACCTCTGATTTTTTATTTGTTGTTAAATTTCATGTGTCATTTCAATGTTGATGTGGAGTTGTGTCATTATACTTATGACTTAATGGAAATGCAATGTCCTGTGATGACAAGTATGAGCAGCATGTGAAATGATCAAACTGGTAAGAGGATGTGATCCTTAATACTCACTAAGGTGGCTCACCAAGCACACACCAGGTGTGGTAGTTAGATGAAACTGTGAATTTGAAGCTGTGAGAGAGCTTCAGGGTGCCCAAAGATGCTGAGGCACTGCTGGCACCCAAATACCAGTTCAGGTTAACTGGATAGCAGCACAGTAGAAGTCAGGCTTCTGCCTGACTTCCAACATTGAGCTTTGGAAAGAAGAGCTAAAAATCTCTACTAAATCTTAATTACCACTCATTTATTTCTATCCCCATTAAATCTATATCTCTCCAATTTAGAGAAGAGGATGTTTTGGGGTGACCATGTAAATGCCTTTACCCAGAAGTTAAAATTTAGTAGAGATTAAGAGTGCTGGTGGTTGAGGGGCTGGACATGACCCAGCCATGAGCACTCCCAGCCCAGAGAGYCAAACGTGTCCTGGGCTGCAGCCAAAGCCCCATGGGCAGCAGTAAGAACACGAACCTGTTGGAGGGAGTCCAGAGAAAGGCTATGAAGATGATCAGAGGGCTGCAGCACCTCTCCTATTAAGACARACTGAGAAAGCTTGKGTTGTTCAGCCTGRAGAAGAGAAGGCTCTGTGGAGACCTTGTTGAGGYCTTTCAGTACTTAAATAGGGCTTGTAAGAAACATGAGGACAGACTTTTCTGCCGGGCCTGCTGCGATAAGACAAGGGATAATAGTTATAAACTAAAAGAGGGCTAATTTAGGTTGGATATAGGKAAGAATTGTTTTATAATGAGGGCTKTGAAATGCTGGAACAGGTTGCCCCAAGAAGCTGTGGATGTCCCATCCAYGGAAACATTCAAGGTTAGGTTGGGCAGGGCTCTGAGTGATCTGTCCTAGTTGAGGATGTCCCTGCTCATTGCAGGGAAGTGGGACTAGATGACCTTTAAAAGCCCCTTCCAACCCAAGCCATTTGATGATTSTATGATTTTATGATTTTACCTCTCTAGTACTTCTTGACACATTAAAGGGGAGCATGCCACCAGGAAACCTGTGCCCCTTCTTCCTGAAAGACTTCTCCCCCTCCCAGGCATTACARTCTAAGGACATGATTAGCAGTCACACTTAGAGCTAATGGCTGAAGGGCACGTCCTGTTTACTAGACAAGAAAAGAGGAAGTAAAATTTCTCAGTTCAGGCTTTCTGCTCTCTGTAAATGYAATGCATCACCAAACTGGGGGCTATGTCATAAATAAGATACAGACTGGGCCATGGAGGAGTCCCTCACCTTTAAGATCGCTCTYAAGCAATCCTGTGAAACCTAAGTTTTAGGTGGGTATGAAAGGAATAGTTTCATAAGTCTGCCATATATATTGTTTTAATATTAATGCTGTAACACTCTTTTATACTCTATCCTTTCCACCTCACAGATCTTTCATACACATTTTAAGTATTTCAATTATTTGCATACCATACCATACATTACAGCTTCTTAAAATACACTTCTGAGTTCCTTTGATAAAATAGACTTATTTTGTCATGGTTTGGTGTGTTGTTTGGTTTTCTTTTTAAAGTTAGCATTTGACAATATTTCTCAGCAAGCAACATTGTGTATTGGCTTAGTTGATGTTCAGCCAGCCCAGAGTTTTAATTGGAAAGGATATGTTTAAAGTGTTTTTATGGCTGAAAATTGCAGTAAGGACACAGAGATCAGTTTTGAATCCTTGGGCAGATTTCTGTGTATGACAGAATTGAACCCAGTGATACTCGGTAAGACAGAGGGAACAGCTTCATTTCTCAAGCACGAGAAAATGAATATGATCTTAAATTACAATCTCATAAACTTAAATTGTGCCTTTTTCTCAGACTAAGGGGGACACCCAGTGGCCGATGAAATTATCACTGCTCCCTGAAAAGGATCGCTCAGCCTTTAATGTAGCAATGYCTTTTGACTCACAGGAAAACAGAGATAAATCGTATCAGCCCAGTAACTGGAGCAGCCTCTTGCAGGTGTGTGTGGGCTAGAGAGGACAGGTCAGGACAAGCCCTCCCGTGTGACAGCTGCCACACTGGGACAGTGGCTGTGACTCCATTCCCCCTGCCATTGTWCCCTTCTGCCTGAATCTTAGAGATCAACAGCATATGAGCTGTATCCAGCTCTACAGTGCACAGTCCTTATTTTCAAGCAGGAGGYCAAGAGACACAAGGCAGTCATTTGCTCATATTCTGATTGCTGTTTGCAGGATTTAATTTTTATGCCTCATTTCTGCTGTATATGGCATAGTACAGGTGCTCACCAGGCTGATCTGCAGGATCCAGGCAGCGAGAGACCAACATTCTGGTACAGTTAATTCAGCAGAAATAGGAAGTGTTAGAGATGCACGGTGAATTCAGCCGGACTCACTCTTCTCAGGCATCTGAAAAGGTGTGAAGAAATAAAACCTCGTTCTTCTTCATCTTCACTCATCATCATCATCATCATCATCATCATCATCATCATCATCATCATCTTGACTCAGCTGCAGCTGGAGGTGTCAGCAGTCTCTGGCACCCTGCTCTGGGAAGGGCTGTGGGGCAGCAGGCCCAGCCAGTCATACTGCGAGCAATAAAAAAGGCAAACTTGCATGTTTGGAGCTGCACACCTGGCAATGGGCTAATTTAAATGGCCTAATTAGGGTGGCCTAATTAGAAGTGAGTAAAACATTTTTGTGAGCTTGCCACTAAGYGTGCTGCTGGACACGACTTGTCCAGCAGCAATCCCTTGTGCTCCTGCCCTGGGCCCGTGTAGGGCAGGCACGCACGGGAGATGGCCACAGGCTGGGCAGGAGGGCATCCAAAGGCCTGGAGCCCAGAGGGGTCTCCTCCAGGTCCACCTCCATCACTGCTCTTGGTCATCTGGCATGTGACAACACCACCACGAACAACATTCTGAGTGTTTTATTAACAAGTATAATACATATGCACTGTATACTAAATATACTAGATATACTAAATATACTAAATATAGTATGAGGACTGTACAGTACAAATTTATGTTCACAGTTTGACATGACAAAAYGTCATTACTGAATTCCCATTGGACTACCAAAGTCGAAACAGTGAAAGTACATTAAACATTCACATCTTTAGTAAGAAAAGATTACCAACATGTCTCCATATTTGCAAGTTATAGTAATGCACGCTAGAAACCTTTAATTAGCCATTCTGTCTTATTAGCTTATAAAATATATTACATTTTATTWAAAAAATTCTGCATAGTTTATAGAAGTATTAAAGTAAATAAAACATCCTTGCTATATTTGCAGGTGAGAGATGCTAAGCAAAAAGGTTGTTTTGACCTTCTAAAGTACATTAAGTGCTGTAAGTATGTGTAAAATATAACAAAAACTGGTGTAGCCCTCTTAAGAGATGTAAAATGCTTTGTGAATTTTTTAGGAAGGATTTGTATTCATCTTTATGTAGCTAACCTTTACAGAGACAACAACATACTTGGACAAGATGTGGCATCAGAAGTGTCACTGCAGAATGCCAGGTGTATATTTAAATAAACCCCACACATTAATACCTGCTTCGTTTCTTGCAAWTGTATTAGAAACTAATAATTTATTATAATGAACAGGCATGTTTTAGTAAAACAGTATTACCTGCTATGCACTGCACAGTGCAATACTGTTAGGGAGAAACTAATCCAAACTGGCTTTTCTTTAGGGCATAGATGAAATGACTGGCTTTGTAAAGTATTTAATTTGGTATATTTAAAAATTACAAGGCATCCCTCAAATCAAAGTTTGCTAAAAGGAACCAATGGGCTAGTTAAGATGTMAATTCATRTTCRGCTGAAAATATATTTGTTTRTGACCTTTTAGACATCCCACAAAAMCACCACAGACACAAGTGAAAAATCCTGCAAGGAATGCATTATCATGAAATAATTTAAATACTTACATTTAATATTTAAATTTCTGTTGCCCTAATTCACAAGGCACATGGATGAAGAAATTTTAAAAGCCCTATTCAATCTCCACATTTGTCCCCACCACTAACTATTTAAAAAWAAATATTTTCAGGAAAAGGGTACATAAGCTAATGAATTAATGTGACAAGTAACCTAGACTATATTATCTGAAGTAACTTTAGTTGCAAAGAAGTTCTGCTTTTAGGGTACTGATTTTAAAAATATTAAAAAAATAACGTTAATGAAAACATTTTATGTAATTCTCAAAAGAGAAACAGAGCATTGGAAAGAAATGTTCCTTAAATATCCAAAATTTCATAAATTTGCATTTTTTATGGGAAAATTTGGACCAGTTGCCATTAAGCTGTCTMTTTTTATACTACCTATTTATTTTTCCCCCTACAACAGAACAGAGAATTGTTTTCATCCCAGGGTACTAAATGTCTGTAAACTTCTGACTGATGCCACACTGCTCCCTCCACACAGCCTCTCAGCCAGTGATGTGCCTGCTTCTACAAAATTGCCATTGAAACCTAGAGCCAATTCTGCTACCAATGACAAAAAAATTACCAACATTCTGGAACAGCTGCTCTTTAATACCAGCCTCCTTTCTACAAGGTCCTCAATGTCACTAACAATCGAGCCTACCAAGAAAAGAAAAGGACCGATTCATGTCCCATGTGCTTCAGTGMCACAGGTGAGCAGATGAGGGAGAGTTACAAGATACCAGATGGAGCTCGGCCAAGGTGGTGAGGATGTATGGAGCTGTAACACAGCAACTGCTATCAGAGCATTTTTCTACAGGAAGTACAAACTTCTCCTCTAATTCCATGGGCACGTAGATGTCAGCAGAACAGCTGGTGAAGTCCTGTCACCAAATAAARGCTCTGCACTCACACTTTTGCATCTCCAAGACTGGCACTGGACTCCRCTGGATGTAGAAGTACAGCCTACCTGCTCCACAAGATCAAATATAGCCACCTGCAGATGGACACTCCACCTGCCTCCTGCAGAGGAATGTCTATGACACTCTTCCTCCCCTCACACCTCCACTGTTCACTGGGTTTGCCCAAGAGAAARGAAAAGCTGACTTCAGTATGTTTAATTTGCAGGGAATGGTGTTTACCTTACATAGGGCAAAGAAGGAAATGTACTTGTGGGTGAGAGTGTAGAGAAACACATCCTGTTTCCTTGCAGTGCCACAAAGTCTGYCAGCTAATACAGAAGAAACCTTCCTTTCAGAGGGCTCCAAGACAGGAACACTTCTAGGGTCAACTGCAGGTTCCTTGAAATCAATTTATTTTACCTAGGGAGCTCTGTTTGCTAATGGACATGGTTTTAATGCAATAGACACATCCCCAGGGAAGCAGTTCTACCTACCACCAAGAGACTACCAGTCACAAATCAGAGCTAGGAACTGGATAATTTGGTATATATTTTTATCCAAAACAGTTACATGACTCAATTTATCATCAGAAGTGTTTCATATCTGATRCCATCTTCTCATAAAAATATTGTGGATCAATAATTTTAAATACTTTAGTGTATTAAAGTGATACAACAATACAGTTCAGAGCATTTTTGACTTAATGACTGCTATTTTTCTGAACTACAGCAAAGATAAAAGAATTATTTAGAAGAAATGCAGGGGCATGATTGCAGGGGGATAGTCTATATCCCTGAAATGAGGTGCACCTAAGTTTCCATGAATACAATTTAATGCCAAATCACAGGAGAGTACCATACAATCATAGAATCATAGAATATGCCGAGTTGGAAGGGACCTATCAGGATCAATGAGTCCAACTCCTGACCCTGCCCAGGACATCCCAAAAGTCACACCATGTGCCTGAGAGCGTTGTCCAGATGCTTAACTCAGACAGGCTTGGTGCTGTGACCACTTTCCTGGGAAGCCTGTTCCAGTGCCCAACCACCCTCTGGGTGAAAAACTTCTTCCTGATGGTAAACCTCCCCTGACTCAGTTTCAAGCTGTTTCTTCAACTGTGTGTGTTCCATCCATACACTTGCACAGAAACCAGGCATACAGAGTCACACGAGGTATTCCTTTAACAAATCCACCAGGGCATTATGCAATAAAAACAAGGACATAGACTACACTGTAATATAGACGACAGATGACTTTGGTTTAGATGCACAGAATTATGAATGGACCAATTCCTGCCCGTTTTTCTTCTTGACTGGGGTAAACGATATTATAACTCAATCTTCCTGTAAAATTATTATACTGTTTAGATTTGTCTCCTCAGCATTACTCACTGTTTGGGCAGAGGGGATTTCTAAATCACGTGTCTTTCTAAAACTGCTGTATTAACCACATTGAGGAAATCAACACAGCTGGGAGAGTCCATTCATTGCATTGTTGAGCATAAAATGAGAGTGTGTCCCTTACAGGGCACATAAATAATAGTCTATGGCAAGGAGTAGCAGTTTAGATATTCAATAACATTTACTATTTTATCAGTATATGCTGAGTTGATTATACCAAGAAACCAACAGAAACTGTTAGTTTACAAATTCCCTTATTCACAAATGGAATACAATAAACATACTGAATGTAGAAAGGGTTTGCTTAGCATCCCCAGGAGAAAAAAAAAAGAAGTGTTCACATTCTTTAGGTCTGACCCGTGGCAAGGACACAGAAGGGTTAGATAACATCTGTTACTGACCATACGTAAGCTTTTAATGGTATAAACTCAGAGATCCAGACCAGCTGAATCCAAATTAAAAAGCATGTGTAAAAAAACAAAAGAGTAGTGACAGGAGTCAGGGACAGAAGACATTCAGACTAGCATGTGGCGTTTCCTGTGAAGAGCAAGATGGTCCGAACGTGAAAAGCTACGRTCACAGTCTGGGCACTGGAAGGGTTTGATTCCTGTGTGCTTGCGGAAATGCCGCGTCAGTTCATCGGAACGAGCAAACTTCCACGTGCAGCCCTCCCAAGTGCATTTGTATGGTTTTTCCCCTGGAAAAGGAAACACAGAAGTAGGGATTTAAGACACAAACACATCAGTTAAATAGCTGACAATTTTATTCTACTGCCTTGTCAAATCTCAACAAGTACTTCAATGCTTACTCAAAAAGCCTCCAAACAGCACAAGGCTGCAGAGTTCTCTGCATTAGAAACTGTGTAGTTGAAGTTAACTGACCAAAAAATTGTTTCTTGCCACAACTTTTTTTTTTTTGTCTCTCTGTTCCTCTCTCTGCCGTATTAGCACTTGTTTTGTCTCATGAAGCCCAGAAGCATGGAAGTTTATACATTTGTTCAAGTATTTTCAAAACAGGGATCTCAATATTCTAGATTTTTGGGGGAAAGGACTGTGCTACCATGCAGCACAACAGGCAGAAATCTTGTTCTTTCTGAAATTAAAGGTAGTATAAATAAATAAATGTAAATAAAGTTGCAAGTACTTCAATTTAAACTCTCTATTGTTACTCACTGCTAATATACCATCATCCTCCTTTAACACACTGTACTGTCCAACAGGTAGAGAGCTGGCTTGATGCATGACAAATGTGATCTGGGCTCTGTTTTACCTAGAAGTGTCTCCTATCTTTGTAAAAACCTTGGATGTATATACATTCATTCAGCATGCCAAGATGAACAGAGATGGGAATACTGGAATACTAGAATATTCATTCAGAAAAAAAGCACCACTGGACCAGTGGTTAGCATCTCCACAGAGCAGATGTGTTTGCATTTGGCACAYGGTCAAGACTTCTGGAAATGGGCTACTCCCATGGAAATTTCAGTCAAACTTAACAGTGATGTCATAGGTGAGCCAGTGCAATTTGAAGTGATATTGTGTTTTCAGGGAGTGTGGATTGAGTAAACTGCAACAACTGGAAACAAAATGAGTGATGAACCAGTGAATGTAAAACACACCAGCACACACTATGAACCTGTTGTGGATTACTGTCTCTTGTTTTAGGTTTTTCCCACTATGTCCTCTGTCTTTTCATCAGCCTGCAATTATTTTCACAACAATGCCAGATCTAACTTCTGTCAYTTCATTATTTACACCTGTGGTTAGCTGGCCACTAGCAGAAATTACAAGCTTATCCTTCTGTTTTACTTGATGAAAGAGAAGCTATGCTCAAACCTGTATGGGTTCTTCGGTGAGCTTTCAGGTGGGAGCTTTTAGTGTAGACTTTGTTGCAGCCTTCATAATCACATCGATGTATTCTGCGTTTCCTTTGTGTGTCTGGAGATTCCACAGGTAAAGGTCTCTTTCCTGGCTGAACTATAACTGAAGGGTGATTCCTGCAAAGTCAAATTAATGTTAAAATTAAAAAACATTTAGCACAGCAAACCTCAGCCAGTATGATTCATAAMAGAGCCTTTTATTCACTACCACTCTGTCTCTTGGCAGAAAGAACACCATTACGTGCATGTCGAAAAATTCAACACGGTTTAGCAAATTTTGTGTATTTTAGCAGCAATATTTTTAAATGTTTACTCACTCTGTGGCATGATGTAGCCATTTTTACTACTTCCCAGCTTCTTTTTTAAACTTACAGAGGAAAGCCCCCTTCAAATTCTTGTTTTTCAGTCAAACCCAGATTTCTTAAACCCTSAGTGAACGTTCCTTGTATTTGTTCACTATTTTTCATTTTCCTTCAATATAACTAATTTACTTGTAATTGGAAACAGCTATTCCATATTATTAAATAAATTGTATCTTTAGGGTTCCAAAGCAGAACTCAATCTTTATTGTTCCAGCCACTCCTTTAGAATGTAATTAAGAATTTCCTGTTTGGTGCTGGCAGGAGGGTGCGGCCTCCCTGTACCTCTGACGTCAATTCCTAAAAGTAGAGCTTAAGTCTGTGGCACACCCACACAGGATGTCTGAAGTTGTCCCTCCACCTTCATAAACATAATTTTTCATTTTAGAAGCCCACAGGTGCAGTGCAGGTAAGACACACATGAACCAAACATGGACTTCTGCAACGAACAAACCCACAAATGTTCATGCATGTGAAAACATACAAGCTTCTTAAACGGTGTCCTTGACTGTTGAATGACACCCTTCCTGGGGACAACCTTGACTTTTTCTTCTACATCCATGTTAGAAAAGGTATGTCAAAATGTTTGTTGAAAAGGTAGGAGTAGAATACAACATGCAAATATTAGCATTCCTTGTTGCAAAACSAGCTCCTCCATGCAACAAAAAGAAGCTTTCTAGAACGCCTGTCTTTTCCAAGTTGATGTATTTCACATGTTTTTACCAATCAACTTATATTTTGTAATACTAAGTTCTATTAGTTACTTGATCCAAGTTCCTTTAGGGCCTAATTTTCAGAAACAGACTACCTACGTCTCTCAGGTAAATAAAGGGCATGTACCAAAGACAGAAAATCTCGGGCACAGTTTTGGAAGAAAAGATTTTTCCCTGACTTCACAGCAGCAGGATGGGATTACCGATGTCGGTAAAGTTGAATTCTGCTGTTGATTYTTTTACTAAGAATTACAAGTTTGAAATTGGAAGCTGAATTCTCTTTCTTGGGTTATTTTGTGGCTGTTGAGTGATGTACATTTCAAGTACACTTTAAAACCAGCCGAAAATATTATAATGGCAGGAAACTCCAGATGGTGATGTTAGACAGAGATGTACACACTCTTAAATAAAAGAAGGCAGGATTCCAGCTTCCAAAGACACAGCTCTCYAAAGCAATGCTCAGTTTTAATGCAGTTGCATACCAGCCTTTTTGGAGAAACTCTGGCTTAGGACAGCAAACAAATGTGSTTTAAATCATTATGTGTGGAGGCTAGTCCTGGATTACTAGCCATGGTAACATCTGGGAAAAGTGGCCATACACCATTTGTGATTTAGATTTTCAATCTACAAGTGTCTCARAAAAGTGCTGAGAATGTCTCCTTTTCCCCTTAGGGGAGAGGAGGCTGCAAAACAACAGAATGTTATCAATAATCAGATAGGGTGTGGTAGTTTTAAAAAATGGTTAGGGTGGTGTCAAATTCAGAGGCAAATATTAAGTAAGTGCCAATAATAAAAGCACAGCCCTAATTCTTTGATTCCCTCTTCTACAACCAGATAGAAGTCCATTTAAGCGTCACCCTTCAAAAGGCAAAAGTATCTTCCAAAAAATTACATTAAAACTTGAACAGCTTATTCTTWACCACAGACCACACTRTGTTGACAGCATGAGTTAGACTTTGAAACTTTCATGAAAATACATTAATTATCTGTCCAGAGATTGTTACCTCAAGTTTGATTTTAGAAGCAATTGCACAGTTACACTGATTATCAGGCATACTGGAAAGTCCAGCCATGCCAACAGAAATGCCACCAACATTATTTATATATAGATATATAGATATATATACTGCCAAAAGCTAACACAGAAACACAATAAGTCAATTAAAAGTTTTAAATAATTCACTTCAGTGATTCTGAAYGTTTCCTATGCCCCTTTAATGTAGCTTATATGTCTGAATAGTAGAGTCTGGGCAGTTGGAACCAATGAAAAATGTTAAAAGCATCATTACCTAACTATAGCTCATAAAGCTATGAAACAATGACAATTTTTTTTTTAATAAAGGTTTAGGTGTCTCATCTTGTAACTTGTGTGAGTTGTCTACGTATTTTCTTTAATGATAAGAAATACAATTCATAAAATTCTTGTTTTGGATACAGCAGAAWGCGAACTTGAAAGGGCTGGCCCTAGGAACAAGAGCTAGAGCTCCACAGGACAGCTGCAAAGCAATTTAAGCTGTTACAATGCAAGGAAAGGGTCTCCATGGGCATAACACTCAGCGTAGGCAAGCAGAGAAGATGCTTCGGAAACATGGACTATACAAATGTTTTTTGTAACAAAGCACAGTTTTTTGTAACTACACAGTATACCAAATTTTACATTCTTTGCTCAGTGGATGGGTTTCCTGTGGRAACTAGACCCATTGGGAAACAAATAATGCAAATCACTAATGCAGGTGACAAGTCTACAGAAGTCTCAGCCCTGGAGGAAGGGTGTGGTACAGCCAGGAACAGCACTGACTGGTTTGCTCTTGTTAAAAAGACTGAACAAAGACAAAAAATAAACTGAACCATTTGATAGTCCCGACCCAGCAGTTAGCTCCAGCTACATAATGACCTGACTCCCTTTTGTGTCAGGTCCATTATGGAAGGTAAGTAATCAACTAGTAAACATRCACGTTTACTATTTTGCGTTTATTACAATAAACAATAAAGCACATAAGGTTATTTAAAAYAGACAGCATATAGTTTATAAAAGCTAGCTGGCAACTAATTGCAAAACGCCTGCAGTCTAGAAGCTTCATCTAAGGTGTTTGAAGACAAAGAGGGATGCCCACAAGAAGGCTGTTGTGCAATTGTTATACAATTGTTATGTAGTCAGCCCTGGAGCTGTGGTATGCCTTAGAACCATGGAACTAACGACCATGAGCAGGAGGAAGAGGCAGCCTTCTACAGGAAATGCAGGAGACCACCCACCCTAGGCTTTTCTTTCTCTTTCTGAACCACAYTCACACTGGGTTTTATGAGACGCTTGAAGCCCTCTTTCTCTGCTCCATGAAGGGGAGGTCAAACACCCCCCACCTCAATGGCAACAGTGAGCAGGAGGAAAGTACAGAAACGTATTCTGAGGCTCTGTGTTGYGAGTCCTGCTCAGTTCTCAATTTCAGCTCCTGTCAGAGTCATGCTGGCAGCCTGCATACCTGCCCAGAGCACTGCCTGCTGAAGGRTGAGCCAGGCTCTAGGTCATTCTAGGTTTTTAGTAAGTTGACAGGATTTTCCCTTGGAAAAYAGGAAATAGAAGAGGGCCCATGGCTCGTCAGATACTACTGAGAGTTTTTAAATGTTTTCAATTAAATGGTTTGTGCCCTAGATCTAATTTCTTCCTCTAGCCCTTGTTCTGCCATTTGCAAATATCACTGTTTCAAAACCCATTAGATCTGTGATCCAGTTCATGCAGTGGCCCCAGTAACAGCTATAGCAGCAGAGTGAGTCAGTACTAGGATAGAAACAAGTGGCTGTGAARAGAGAAAGCTTCAGGAATGACTCGAGCTGCCAAAAAAAATCACCCATASAGCAAGGGCTTGAGGTAAAAATGTAATTTCACTGGATATACACAGAACTTGTCRACCTGAAGAGGTTCTTCCCACCAAGCAGGCAAAAGTTTTGAAAACAGAGGTCCTCCAAGAGGACAAAGTCACAACACTCATTTTAAAGAAAGGTATTTCAAGTAACATAAATAGATCAGTATGCAATATCTTTTAAGTTTCTTTCAATTTTGCTGCTGGTTTTACATAAGTAAAAAGTACTGGCTTACTGGGAGTCCTACTTTCAGTAACTTGTATGACTGGGACTATCATCACTTTAGAAATGCATTATATAAATAGCAGATCTATTGTGATGTATATATATCAACTGCCATATTGCTAGAAAATGGGGAAAAGTTGAAATCACATTTCACAGTGGCAGTGGTGGAAAGATGAATGTTTYCCTGCATTTTATCACATGTTCTAAAGCATAACAATAACCTTTCCCACTCCTCAAAACTGTCAATCAGCTGCTTTCCATTCCTCTGCTGATCTTGGGACTACTGTTAGCTACTTACTCTTGCAACATTACTTGCTGAGGAGACAATGAGGTCATCATTGGAGGTGACATTTGTTCAGGATAGAAGTCAGTCTTTGATGGTTCACTTCCTGGCTCTACTTTGATTGTTTTCTTYAGTGTAGGCTTCTCATAAGACTCAATGACAGGCACTGTTATGGGAGAAGGTAGGAGAGGGAAGGCAACACATAAAAATCACAGTGAGTTATGGAAATCTATAGTTAAAACAGAAGAAATCCATCAGTTTCATATTTAGTGTGACAATTTATACTAAATACAAAATCTTCCAGTTTTAGTTATCCCTTGATGAACTATGATTCAAAACATTTCTATTCATTTTCATCAGTCCAAATCTCAGTAGATAAACAGCTTTACACACATGCAAGAGCAACGAAGCTGGTGAAGGGTCTGGAGCACAAGTCCTGTGAGGAGCAGCTGAGGTTACTTAGCCTGGAGAAAAGGAGGCTCAGAGGAGACCTTATGGCTATTTGCAACTGCCTGAAAGGGGGCTGCAGACAGGTTGGGATCAGCCTCTTCTCACAGGCTACTAGAGACAGGTCAAGAGGACATGGTTTCAAGGTGCACCAGGGGAGATTTAGCTTGGACATTAAGAAGAATTTCTTCCCTGAAAGGGTGATTAGACATTGGAATGGGCTTTCCAGGGAGGTGGTAGAGMCACCATCCCTGGAGGTGTTCAAGAAAAGACTGGATGTGRCACTCAGTGTCACTGCCTGGCTGACAAGGYGGTGCTGGGTTACAGACTGGACTTGAAGATCTCAAGGGTCTTTTCAACTGAACAGATTCTGTGATCCTATGACCTTGGTAGTTAAAAAGTAGTTACACCACAAATTCTATGCCTGTGTCTTTTGGAAGAACGGGAATTATCTTCCACTTCCTAAAATGTAAAAATCCCACAGAAAGCAAGTGCTTGGATATTACATTATTTTGTYGGGATGAGAAGGCATAAAAAGGAATTCTGACAACACCAACCTTGCATGCTACTTGGAGTTTCCATCTCATCTGGCAGAACTGTGGACACCATGATGGGCTGCTGGAGATGGGGAGCATACATGAAAGGAACTGGCTGGACCACAACAGGCTGTATAACCGGGAGGATCCCAGGGCTTCTCAGTCCATGGCGTGAAAGAGCTGCGGCCATTACAGATGGCATTGTTATTGGCATAGAAATAGGCTGTACTCCTGGGGGTGACGGCGTGAATTTACTGAGAGGTGAGCTGGGTGAGGACAGAGTCAATCCAGGTGAAGTTCTCCTATGCACAGTCTGAAATTTTAGGGGTGAAGGAGAACTTCCAGTTGAAGGTGGTGAGCTCCGTTTATTGACTGTAAGGTCTACTGGCTCCATCTGGATTCCATTCGATAGTCCTTCAGGGTTTGAGTAGAATTTGTTGTGCAACATACTTGGTGCAGAATAAATGACGCCGTATTTGTTTGGCTTCATTTGGTCCATGTAACTGGATGGATATGACTGTCAGAAGGAGTGGAAAAGAAATACAGAAAATCAAATAATAAATCAACACATACACACAGTAGGCAGCCAATAAAACTGAAGCAAAATGAAAATGTTTCAAGAAAGCATTCTAATATACTTTATAAATAAAAGTGAATTAAGTAAAGCCTCAGATTTCACACAAAGGAAGTTATTCAAGCACTGATTCACTAACTTATTTCAGAAGCAATGTAAAAACAGATTATGAAAACAAATCTTCAAGACTTATTCAACTACTTTTCTCCCTTTAAAAGTGCCTGTCATATACTAAGCYGTACATTTCTTAACTGACCTGGGACATACATCTGCTGTGCCAAGCATGTAACTATATTCTGAGAATCATCAATTCTGGCGTGAGGGGAGTTCAGGGGGTCCCAATCTACTGCTAAGGCAATTGAAAAACAATCATCACTAAAGCAAGGAATTATGTATCTGAACCCTACAATCAATAAAAAATACTCAGCTGAACTATGTAAGTAATGGGTGAGAAACTCAGCAGTGTGAAAGGTAAAATCTAAACCTTTCTAAACCATTTTTTTGAGATATAAAGCAGGTAACTAGCCAGCCTAATTTTGGAAAATGAGTACAAGGACAAACATTTGGTGTGTTGGAAGATAYTCCTGTTACTGGTAGCTAGCAGTTCTCATTACAATATAAATCCCAAAGCTAATCTTGACCTCTTTGACAATCTCCATATTTTAGTAATAGTTTGTTAATGTATATATGTATTATAGAAATAACACACATATATATTTAGTGACTTTTGTAAAGCAAGAAGTATAGAAGTTCACTGCAGAGTGGAGTATTATTAAACAAATATCCAGGCCAATACTGCATTTAAAAACTGTTGAAAACTGACATTACTAATAGCTGACTCACAATGAAAACTGATGTGATGTTCTAACACAGCAGAGACACAGAAAATGCAATGCACACCAATTTTTAGTCCTGTTATCAACTTTTTGAAATAAAATGCTATCTCTGGATTTTAGGTAAGTGAATTAATATTAAGAAGCTAATTAATTCTTTGGCACCAAAAACATTTTGATGAGGGGGATGAAAAAAATGTTCAAAATGGTAGAAAGTGAAACAGATCAATAGTATAAAACTACTGTATKTTTATAAAATTATTTCCATAACATTTCAATTAGTTTTCTTCCTGGGGTGAACACTTCTGTCAATACATTTTCCTGGTTTCTTACTTCTGTCTTCCCTGTGACACAACAGTTAGTTAATTTTAAATGTTGGTGTTAACTGGAGATATTTTTGCAAAATRACACAAATGTAATTTTCTTCTTTTCAGTTACTGTTTGAAACACTGAGTTTAGAAAATATTGATTTTTCTCCTGCATTCATAGCACTGTGATAAAACAACRAAGCTGAGTCACCCAGTCCATAACATACTCAAATTAAGCAGCATACACAATGGTGATTAATCTTCAAACAGCTAATACTACATTAAAACTTCTGAAACATTATATATTCTCTCTATAACTATACTTACAAATTCCATCTATAGAAACATTCACCTTTGATAGTAATTGGTTCCTCAGAGTTTTATTAGAGGCCATTATTGCAAGTGCTACYTCTAGACTTGCCAGCACTGCTGAGCCAAGTAATGAAATTATTAGCATTCTAAGTGATGGAGACCACTAAATATTGCTATAACTTCATATTYAACAGCATCTAGTATCTATTAAATCTGATCAAATTATGGGCATAGCCAAATTTTAACAGGTAAGATATTTTGAGTACTTCTGTTAAAACTCCTGTTATTGGTTTACAGCACARTGTTCACCCAGCTTCAACAAACTGTAAATATTCCACCACTAAGCATCAGCACATTTACAGTGCTGCAGGTTTGTCAGGGACAATCTCAAYGTCACTGCCTATGAACTTTTCTTCCATTGCAAGGATGCTAAAAACAAAAAAGTCTGTGCAATTTAAATCTCCAGGAATGCTTTTGGCCAATGAGTCTATCAAAGAATGAAGCATCTCTAGCTGTAACCTTTCTATGTAAACAGTTATCCTCTTTCAACTCTTCAAGTAACACTAAGGGTGTGTGTCTGTGTTGAAAAAAACCACATTATTAGAATAATGTACAGAGAACTCTGAAATAGAAAGATTARGAAAAATATATTTAGACAAGCAAGAAATACTTTCCAAGAAGTAGGAAGAAAATAATKATATGGTTTTTTGGAAGTGATTATTTTAAGAACTTGGTATTTTACCCCATATGCCTTGYATTATCTTGCATACAAGGTTTTCATTGTGGCAATTAAGCTGGCAGAGATTTTAGTATCAGCTATTTTTTTCTGGCAGTTTCTGAATAATTTTCCTTAACTTTTATTTCTTCTGCAGTTTTAACTGCTACTTTATCTGGACCGCAGACAAAGTCATAGAAAAATGGAATGTGACAAATTACTACGTGTTTGGGGAAAAAAAAGACAAAGGTGAAAAAGTTGAGAAGGATGCTTAGACAATGAAGAGGAGAGTACCTGCTATCAGTCAGACACTGGTGAAAAACCATTTTGCTTCCCTACAAATGAAGTCTCATGGAAACCCTGTTCATTTGGAGTAAGACACACTCAGATGTATCCTGGCTCTGAAGTTMAGCTTCCTGTAGCTTTTAGCATAGCAAARTTTCAGTTTCTAATTCCCTGGGACACAGCAATTGCCATTAGGTCAACACGAACTACTGCCTTCAAATTTGATGTTGCTTTTCCTTCCTTTGCCAGGGAAACAGACAGTACTGCTTGGGGAATATGCGATGGGAGACTAAGGATGACTTCACAATCTCTCTCTGTAAAYAGGAAGCATTAACTACAGTAAAGAACCAAATAAAAGCCCAACTATTTCTGTTCGGTTTTTCTAAATGCCACCAAGTGCAGGAAAGCAGGAGTGTGCTTTAAAACCAACAAGGGCAGWCTTTTCTCACCTGTCCTAGAGCTCATGCTAAGTATTCTGGTGGAACAATGGAAAAATAGATATCATTGCTCTATTTGCCTAAAATATTTAGGATGATACATTTTCCTTGAGATTCTTCTGTGGAAATTAACAGCATATGCAGGAGTTTGGTCTGACTTGAACTGAAAAAAYCCAACAAACTCCCACTTTTCCTGTAACTTCTGCTTTCCTAAACATTCCTATGCAGAACAGTATGTCGTGACCGCAGATCATTACAATGATGCAAGATTGTATTTCAACATATATCCCCTTACAATGCCCATCTAGCTCTTTTTATGTTTGATATCATCACTTTCCCTCTTTGGGCCTTACAAAGCAATTTCCCTTTCCTTGCTGTTGGTCCATACTAAAACCCAGACAACTGAAGCTAAAAAGAAAGTGGAAAATAAATCAAAGGAACTTCTAATATTTTTGAGTCATATACATATGGTTCACACAATTAAAACAATAAATCCCAAAAAAGAATCACCAAGCTTTTCYTCTTGTCAATCTATCAAGCATATAGACAGACGGCCCAAACATTTCACATGCACCCCTATCACCACCCAGAAAGACTGCTGCTTTCACAAGGGTGGATTATCAAGCACTAGTTTGAAATAATTTGCCAAATTATGCTACACTGCCACAACAAACATGTTTGTTGTAAAGGTGAGCATATTTTGAAGCAACCCACCAAGTCTTTTATAAACTACACAACCCTATGAATGKAAAATTTAGCCAGCCTCTTGAAAAAAAAGGTAAGGAATATTAAGTACTTGAGTTACAACTCCCATTATTGGTTTACAGCATAATGTTCACCCAGCTTCAACAAATTGTAAACATTCTACCACTAAGTTTCAGTGCATTTACATTGCCGCAGGTTTGTCAGAGACAACCACAATGTCACTGCCTGTGAACTYTTCTTCCATTGCAAGAATGCTATAAAGGAAAAAAACCTGTGCAATTTAAATCTCTGGGAGTACTTTTGGCCAATGAGTCTGTTGAAGAAAGAGCATCCSAAGGTGTAACCTTACACTAAGAACACCATGTGGGAATTGGAGGAATAAYTGTCTGGATCTTCACAGTTTATGCATTCTTTGACAACGGAGCTATGATGACTGATTTTGGTGCACAACAGCCTGCAAAAGGTTAAAATACTGCTGGAGACTGGAACAACTGGTTTTTAGAGGTTGGGGGCAGCTTCCAGGTAGATCCCCCCCTTTCCCTGGCAGGGAGGTCAGCAAAGYAYGGCCACARTGAAGACTGGAACACKCACTTTTGGATGGGTGAATAAAAATGCCAAAAGATGAAACACATAAAGATAAAACCCTGACGTAGTTCCACAGGCACTTTGTTCCTTTGCAATTGTGCATTCTGCAAGGCCAAAGATTGTAAACATTCCTAGCTGAACTTGCCTATATATATATATAGAAACCTTTTTCACCTGATTATCTTATATACAACATTGACAATACTGTTATTATTAATAAATCTAATAATTATGACTCACATAATCAGCGTCATACTTCTTGCTCCTAACCAAGTCTTCTCTCTACTACTTTGCTACACAGAGAAAAACTGTTTGTTCCAATTCAAAGAAAAAAGCATCCTGCTTCACTAAATGGTAAATGGTATTTGTCCAAAYGTTTAAAAACTGCAGCAATTATTTAGGTAGTACTCAGATGACTTTGTCACTAGCTCATTAAGAACAATCATAATATATGTTCAATAATTCACTTCAATAAATGGCATGAGCTGYCAGTAGAGTGATGAAATAGTGTGGATGCAAGGTTCAGTCACCTGAGAAGCATAGTTAATCCTGTCAGCCACACACCCTGAAATAGTGGTGTCAAAATCATTATTAGTTTCCTTCTCCCACTCCAACTACTGCAATGTTTTAAAGACAGACTTTACACCTACAGTGTACATTCAGAYAGAAAASTGAGTAATTCCTAAGGGGCTTRGTTTAATTTGGCCTCTAATTATACTATCAGAATGAAAGATGCAATACATATAATCCCGGTTTTAGATTTTTGGGTTATGTCAGCCCACAGTGCTATGCTTAGCACCGCACAGTATCACACTAACAGTTTCTCCTCWAAAGGAGGTCAAGAAAACGAACTCACTCCGTGGCTACTATCGTTTCCTATGTTCTCTCCATATCACAATACCTCCCTTTAGAGATGTCTCCAAAGCAGTATCTGCTGTGGCACCATGGCTCCAAGAAAACCCTRAGACCAAGAACAGCTAGGGACCTCAAGGGCTTGGGGCTAAGCAGCCTATGTGTGAACAGAAGCTGAAACGCGGAWGGTCCTCAGCCAAAAGGAAAACAAAGTAGTGTCCAATGAGGGAAACTTCACTTGGAAGCCATCCTTTCCTCTTGACTTTCTGCTTTTTCTTTTCTGGTTTTTTTTCCCATTATGCAAAAATAAAAAMATGTTGAAAAATGCTCTGAAGTAGTCTGTAATAGCTGGTCAGACTGATCACACTGAGTTATGAGAAGACTTCAGAGGTCTAATGTGTGGAAGGCAGTATATCACTAGGAGAAGGAGATGGTATAAAATAACCAACAGTTGGAACTACAGTCTTGAAATGCACTTGGCTCAGAAATGCTCCCTTGTTCTTCCCACAGCAGTTTGTCCTTCATCTGCTGGTCTGGAATAGACTGCTGGCTCCTCTCCTGGTGAGCCTGTTGAGGCTATTGACCCTGCACKTCTGGGGCATTTGTGTGTCTTGTGCAGAACCCCAAATGACTGCAGAACCTTCTTTGGGAGATGAAGGCAGACATGCAAAAAAGGTGGCCCAAAAGACTGTAATGACACTTCTTTTGTAAACCAACCTATTTTCTGCTCTGAATGGACACCATTAGATAATCTTATGGTAAATAATTACCGCTAASCTTAATAAGGTTAACTGAAAGACAGGCTGGCTAATACTAAGGTTCTTTCTTGACCCAAATATTGGAATTCATCATACTCGTACTTTCAGCGACAGTTATTTTTCTATCATAGCTCTCCAGCATATAAATCCCATGAAAGTCAAACTRTAATTTTAAAATGAATATAAATTTAACTCCCAGAACTGCTATTAACAGCACTGAAGAAATCAGACTGCTTACAGATGCATTTAAATTTATGAGAATTATTCTTTATTTTAAAAACAGGAAACAAACTTTCCATTGAAAGATGCCATTCAGAGCATAAGTTTAATGCACTCTGAGTTTTGTACACTGACTTCACTTTTTAATGGATCAGCCTTTCTAGGGGTGTGGTTTCATGCTATACTTAATTTGTTAATGCAGGCTACAACTGGAAGGGGAGGTTCTGTTCTCTCCTCCTCCCCCMTCCCCTTGCTCTAATAATGAGCAGCTGCACAAAGTGAGTCAGACCAGCTTCCTGATCACACCAAAAAATGAGTATTTTTGGTGGGTTAGCAATTCTGACCATTCACTGAGCTCATCCAAAGGTTCCAAATCATTTGAGGGCCACACAATTCTTCAGCCACACAAAGGAGACACAAAACTGGCAAGGAGGGAGCAAAGTCAAAACCCTTCCTTTCAGCACCAGTCTGTATCACCACAACTCTCATTGTACTGCTCCCACCTACATGTCCCTGCTACTCTTGTTTATMAGACTCTTCTCTGAGATCACYCTATACTGTAAGTTCACAGAAATTTAACCCAATTTTAAAGAAATGTCTCCTCTTCCTCTTTCTTCCCCACATTCCTTCTCTGCTGCCCTAGTTCTCATTTGTTCACATGGTAAAGTAGTGCAACCAGTTTACCCAGCTAAAAGCCATTGCTGGTTTGGGGTTTTTCTACTGGGATTAATTTTCTGCTGTTTAGGGTGAAGCTAGCCACAGGCACCTGTTACCACAAGGAAGAGAGGAACAGAAAATGGGACAGCAAGACATTGCCAATTTAGTTCAAAAGGTGTAACATTGAAACAACAGGCTATTCTACTGTACCATGAAGCATGGCAACTTAATTTCAACCCACCTCTATCAGCAGCATGACCTAGAGAGATCATACTTACAGAGCAGCAACTCAGGAATACTCACTCTCTCCTCTGATAGGCAACAGGTCAGGTCAATTAAGGCAATAAATAAACTACAATAAGTTTTCCTAGAATATGAATCAGACTGCATTAAGAGCAAAATACATGCTTCACATGCTTTCCTAAGCTAGTCCAAAGCCTAATGACATCTCAGTATGAATTTAAAGGTGGAAAAACTGAAGAGTCATCTTTAGGGCTAATATATTTTAGAAGTCTTACCACTGAAACAGGCTCCATGGCTTCTTGCTTGATAGGGACTGGGTCAAACATTAGCATCTTTTTTATTCACCTGTTCTGATGCCTCTGATGTCCTCTCCTGCTGGGAAAAGACAAGGTGTTAGAAAGCCACAGCAAACAGCCTAATCAACTCTCTGAATTTACTATTTTGTTGGATTAATGTATTTATCCAACTCTAACACAGATTTTAAAATCTTTGACTGAATTTATTCCAAGTTTTTTCTTCTCAAATGGCTAYTGAAAGAAAGGGACATCAGCTTACTTTCGTTAATTTGAATTTTTGTTGTGCGTGTCAGCCCACTGATCACAGAATTTTCACTTTCAATAGCTCTCAAGTGTTTTAAAACATCATGGTTTAGACCAGGCATTCGTCATCAGCATTACAATCTCAGAATAATCTTGTTTATACAACTGAACTGATTCTAGAGAGGATCTCTCCTTTCTAAGAGTCCTAACAGAATTGCTCAATAGTTCACATACAGTGACATTGATATCAATGCAAAAAAAAGACTAAAATTCAAGACTAACTTGGACTACGTTCAACATGCTACAATGACTTAACAGAAAAAATGTCATCAGTCATTATGACACAATAGATTTACTGACAATTCAACAACTATTTGAGCTAACTGTGCAAAATARAAGTACTTAAAATCTGCTTGCATTCTGTGCAGCTTCAGGGTTTTTTCCCTACAGTGTTCAACCTTACTTGTCCAATCTCCAAATGCCTGAAATAGAAGTATTTAGCAAAAAGCACGTCATAACTGTCATAATACACATTTGCCATGATCATCTTGGAAAGACATGGTGAAAGAAAAGAGATACTTCTTCTGAGTAAAGCTGTAACAGTACACAGAGAAACCAAAAGGAAGCAAGGGGAAGTTGTTTGCAATGACATTTAGATATTGCCAAGATATTTACAAATCACTCGAGGTTACACATTATATGACTGATGTTAAAGGAGCAGGGTCRGACGGTACACCGTAGACTTCACATTCCTGCMTGGAAGTGGTACGACCTCTATTAAGACGCGGACAAAAGTAAACGACACAAATTCAGTTTGGCCAGTAGATGGCRCTGGAAAGAAGCGAATATAGCCAGACTCCACCATCCGCAATTCACCCGCGGGACAGACTGAAGGCTCACCAACAGATTTGTAGCTGGGGCCGGGCAATTCCCTCAGAAATGTAAAYGAACGTTCTAACATGTACCTGCTCAAATGAAAACAATCCTAATAAGCCTACACTAATGAACAATCTTGCAATTAAAGTGTGTTTACAGATCAGAGTTTGCTAAGAGCTTCCAGAGAAAGATGGCATGAGTTGTTTTAAGTCCACCATTAATTATTTAGGTATATGAATAAAGTTTAAAGACTTCTGGAAATTYATTACAACAGTGCGCATTTTGAATAATGGAAACAAACAAGTAGCAAAAATAAATTATAGTGTCTCACAATTCTTATAGAAATTGAAGGCCTGACAGAAACAAATCGCAAAACTGAAGTGAAGCAAATAATGCAACTTAATGTCATTTCTAGTGTAAACTTAGTATGTAGTTTTAGTTCAGGAGCAGTCACGTAAGATGGCACTATTTGCTAAAAGCTGGGATRATACTGTAAATACCTTAAGTATGTTTGTGAGAAGGTTATTAATTATACTACTTTTTTTGAATGGTTATCTTTTAGATAACTGTTATCTAGTTATCTTTTTCAGGTTTTTAACAATTCACATAGCTAGAACTAACATTTCAGAATACTAACTTCCCAGAAATACATCTGTCTATCTATGCATCATTCATGTTCTCACACATTCACATGAATTGTGAAAAGAGAAAATTTGTACTTTTAGATATTAAAAATGTTTASAGTAAAACATAGTGACTCAGAGCTCCTATGTAAGAATTTAGAACTAATTCCTTTTAGATTTCCAGAAACTTTTGATTTTTAGTTTGTATGTACACAAATAAAGTGACACACCAACTTGTACTTTGGTGAAGGAATAAATGAAGGAAGAAAGGGGAAAAGAAAGTAGAGAAAGGGAAGAGAGAAATAGGAGAGAGAAAAAAGAGGGGAAAAAAGGAAGAAAGAAGGAGGGAAAGAAAGAARAGTAAGAAAAATTTGTTTTAAGTGAATGCAATAATGTTCGTCCTTTTAGTAATTTTTACAATTTTAAAATGGTATTTTCTTCAGTTTAAGAGTTACTCCTTTTCACCTTTTACTCCAAGAAAGTGAGTGAAAAGACACTTGATATACATTTCACATGAAATGTTATATATTTCAGTGTTTTCTGAGATAGCTCTAATTTACGGTGAAGGAATTACACTGACACAGACAACAGGAAGTACTGCTCTGAACAAAAATAAAAAGTAATTTTCAATTTTTCTCAAGTACAGTCATCTAAGAACAGCAGARGAAAACATTACTTTTATGTAAGTTTACGATGGTACATTTTAGTATAGAAATCAAGCGCTTCTTTATCACATTACTCTCAAGCAGTAGGTATCTTTTCCCCATTTGATAGTGMCTGGAAACCACTTGGTCCTGTAGGTCTGTTAGAGAGTCAATATAAGCCAGCTTCGGATCTGGCTTTTAAAATTGAGCTCAAAAGGACTTTTTTCTAAGGCTGTACATAAACTCACAAAAGACTGYTCTTTGTATTTAAAAATAATGCTCCCAATTGATAGCTTGGACCACACTCATAAACAGGTAYGTGCATATATACTCACGCACAAATAAAGCATGGTACTTCTACTAAGAAGTAGGTATATTTTCCAGTATATTTGTAATATCATGCCTATTAACTCAAAACTTCTCAATCTCTCTCTCTCCCCTAAACATTTGAGAAGGGGGCAATAGGGAAGGTAAACAATGTTRTCTGTTTCTATTACAGAGRAAMGAAAAAGCAGTTGGGTTCTACTTTACAAAGTGATTTCAGAACTACTTGTTTGAAAGCCTGCAAAATGTTTGCATATACAAGTAACTTCTGGAAAATCAAAATACCATCTTTCATTCCTGAGGTACTCTGGAAAAAACAGTGAGGTGACAACAATATATTTATGTTAAATGTATTAAAAAATAAGAGTCTTTGTCTTTCACTTTATTAGGGAAACTATTTTGCATTAAAGTATTTTCTCATGTGARGTTAAAGAATTTAAAATGCATGTAATCTGAAACTAAATAATTAACTGCAATCTGGTAAGCAAACATTCTGCCCTCTCTTTTTTTTTTCTCTCCCTCTTTTTTTCTCCTAACAAGCCACCCAGTTTTACTTTCTTGCCTCCTCCCATTCACTCCACCCTGTGGATCTCTGCCAAGTCAGTCCAACTTGTCCAAACAGGACACAGCTTTTGATAAGATTTTGCTCACACCCTGTACTTCAGAAAGACGAATGAAGCAACTGGGTTTTGTATGCAAATAGGGACAGGTGCAAGGTAAAGTCCAGGCAAAGTCCCTCAGTATTCTCCTATCTGAAGTCCAGCGAGGACAGCAAGCCAGAAACTACACTAACTCTGCCCCTGTGATCCAATATACAGCAAGGTATCCATTCCATTATTGTTAGTGCTCATCACCTTGTCAGGATTGAAGACTTCTCAGTATTAGCTTCCTGACAGGTGTATGGTTTATTGTTTCAGAGACATAATTTAGATTAAATGAAAGCTTAAAGGTACTTAAACGTGTATTCTGACAATAAGGGCTTGTATGGATTATTTACTCTGGRTGAAACGTGCAAAGTGGTTAAAGAACACACCCAGACTACACATCTGCACTGCAGAGCAGCTGGGAAAGGGCAACCGCAGTGCAGCTACTCCCAGCAGCTCTGCACATCTACCTTCAAGGTCCACCAACTCTGCAGACCTGTTATGAAAGGAAAGGGTGRGGTGGAGGGCCAGTTTTGACTGTGCACATCCAACAACAAAGGTCATTCTAACATAAAGCCTGTTCTCTCATAAAATACCTGGAAGAGCAATCAGTGACTGACTTTTGTTGCAGACCGGGGGGGTGGTGACCATACACTGCCACTCTTCACTCTGCCTGAAAACACATACAGGRTTTATTTCCTCAGTCTTTGTGCCTSGGGGAAGAAAAGGAATGCCACTCCATATACAGTAAGTCTTTGTCTAGAAGCTTCAAGGTATGATTGTTATTGTCAGTATAATTACAGACTAATGTAATGGTATCTGCTAAATTAGCACTGCACGAGTGCCCTCTGCAAAGAACTGCAGCTCTTGCAGCACTGTTTGTATCCAGCAGCCAGCATTAAATTACATTGCAAAAGCTCTTCAGTCCAGGCACTTTGGGACTCAACACTGTTGCTCTGAAACTATGACTTCTGCGAGCCTCAAACCGAATTTCCCCTGATACAAGGGAGAAGCAATAGTGCCAGAAGATCGTCCACTGATGAAATCCATAAGGGAAGGGAGGTTTTCTGAACCCAGGTGAGMAGCAGTCTTCAGTGGAACCTTGAAAGACAGTTTGACAGAGGAACAATTTTCTGAGACCAACACTACCTGTGGAAGGTACAAAAACTGTTTTCCAGAGCTAGTAACATGTCTGCACTTCAYTGTACCAGTTGCTCATCAAGACCTGAGTCAGCAAAAAAGTGTTTCTAAAGTTCCATTAACTTTAATAGGAACTAAGTAAGTGCTTAGCTGCACTTGACCCCAAAATAGCAGCAGGCAAAGAAGCTCTCCAGCTCAGCACAGCAGCCAGACTCAGCCAAATCAAGCAAGAGTAGTGGAAGGAAGAAAGGTCCAAACATAGTGCTGTGAGGAGAGACCAGAGCAGCCAGACCAAGAGAAACAGAGCTGAAGGAGAATCATTAAGAACCAGCATACCAAGAAAATGTTCAACAGATCAACAGCTTTCTGTGTTTATTTGCTGGATTTCCACTGGGTAATACTGATAATAGTTGAAAAAGTTAGAATATTCTGTGAAAGAAAACAGAACCTAGGCAAAAAATTTCTCCTTGAAGTTTTATTGACAGACATTAAGAGTATTTCTACAGAATTCTGGYATTTAGTACTTCAAACTATTTTCACTTCTTAGCAAAGACTTGAAAATCTTTTATCTTGCCCCTGTCAGGACTGCAAGCAGGCTGAAAAACTTGTGGTTTTGCACAACTTGTTGACATCATAAATTTGTTGACATCACCTTGTTTGACCTAGAACTACTTTGACATAATCATTTATCACCTGTGGAGCAGACTAATCGGTGTTTCCATTAAATTTCTGATAATACTGTTGCAGACTCTTTGAAGCCACATGCTTGGAAATGGCTTCCTTGTATGTAAAAATCTTGGCCAAAATGTTCTTGAAGTGCGTGTTAAGAAAATACCTTCTTCACCAAGGAAAAGCTGAGCCCATGTAAACCCTGACCAACCTTCAGTTCTACACTTACTRAACCTAAGAGGAGAATGAAAAGCTCTGGAGGCACTTCCACAACACAATATTCTCCCTTATCAGGGCAGACTGCTGTCTGGTTTCCTGTCTGAAGSTACTTCTTAGAAGGAGAAACAGTCTAGTAAGGATAAAAGATCAGACTTTTGAAAACAAGTGAAGTATGTGGAATGGTATGATAATCTTTCCTTCCAAACTGAACTTTTTTTTTGTTGTGTTTTTCTTAAGAGGTTATTTTTTAAAATAATTTAAAGGAGAAATATTAAACTTTTCTATTATGAGGGAAAAATGACAGAAAATACTGTTCCCTTATGTGAAGCGTTCTGCTATTTCAGGAAGTATGAAAAAGAGATTCAACTTTTTTATAGCATGGGAAAGAAGAAAGAAAATCTAATACTAAAAAAARGAAGTAAACATTGAGGAATAATAGCCTAAATTATTAATTTGAACAAAGATCAGATTTAAAACCTGTTGGAGCTTTGTCTTTCCATTTGGCTGATCTTCATTTACACTTCCTCCCCCTAGGAGATACCACCTACGGCTATAAAACCCTCAAAGGAAGCTTCAGCATCAAGTGAATGTTTCACAGGGAAGAGTTAAATCTCTCCTAAAACTAGCTCTGCCAAACTTCATATTCTGTAATGGAAGCAACTAGCCTCAGAATGAAAACACAAAGGTTGAATGCTGACAACATAAAAGAACTCTACAAGACCTCCTGTTAGCAGCGTTAATTAAAATTTAAAAGTTGGTTTACAAAAATTATTATAATTTTAACCACAGTTCCCTATTTTACAGAACTTCTGGCTACAAAAAGGTGTGAACCACAAAATTTACTGCGTTTATTATACAGCAGTTTCCAATAGTAAACAAAACTTAATGTAACTTTTTCCCTCTGTCACAGGGAAAAAATATTCAATGTTTGAAATATTGTGCAAACTAATAGTACAAGAATTAAGATATGTAATCATGGTCTAATGCATAAACTCATCCATGATGTTCTAAAATGAACAGAAAAGCAACAAACTAAAAAGAACTGAGAGCAATCAATTAAAAAAAAAATCAATAAATTACTTACCAAAACTGTGTGGCCAAATACTTCTTTTAATCTGGATTTCTGAACAGACAAAAAACAGTTTGCTGTAAGTATGTGCAGATAATTCAATAAATTTTTTTTTCACATACATACAATTAAGCTCTGAAATAAGTTTGAAATGTGTATTTTAGGTACTTCCTAAAAGACACCTGCAATCATCACAAACAGCTAACCTGTAGCATCCAGAAGAGCAAGAGCAGGACTAAAAGTCTACTTCAAAAATGATTAGGGGGAAAAAATAAAATGAAAGGGTGGAAGTATTTCTGTTTGTACAGAAACCATGCATATTCCAACCCATAAGAGACAGAGAATAAACACTCCATCTTGCATTTTCATCCAGAGCACACAGAAGTTAATGCAAGTCATTCTCCTGATTTCAATGAGCTTTGGCTTGGGTCCTTTAGCTCTTCTTCTGTCAAATCAAAGCAACAGAACAATTTATACTTTTTTCAATTTTCTTTCAATTTTTCACTAGGTCTGCCTGCAACAGGGTGAAAGATAAATATAAAAACAGGAATAAAACAATTACTTTTATGCCTTCAAAAATGCAAAACGTGGGACAGCAGTACTTATTAATGCCAAAGAAAAGTTAAGACAGCAGTGCCTCATTTTCTGTATTACATTTGGAAGACAATGAATCTTCTAGTCTGTATAAGGAGAAAATACCTACTCCTTTTGAGATCAGGAAATACAAAGTGCTTATTGTGGGCTATTCAGGCTGAGTAAGGGCTGAAGCCAAAACCCTCTTACAAGTATGAGCTTACAGATGTGGACTTTCTTCTGATATTCTTTATACATCAGTGCAACTGTGACTTTAATGGAGSTATTCCAGATCAGCTGATGAGCAAGCGAAAGCAGAAAACTGGTTCACAACTTTCTGGAGACTTGAGTTCAAGTTTTCAGCGAACAGAGCGAAGCTCTCCAGTTCACCCCCATTACTATATTGGAGTCGAGGGCGCAYGTTAAAGGTTAACTTGGAAACCTCGTTATGACATAACACAGGCATCTTAAGCAATCCTGAGTGTGTAGAGACATGATAACTCATCGGGTGGGGATTGGGAGTTGAGGGGCAGTGACAAGGGGCCTGGACGAGACTACCGAACTGCCAGAAAACAGCCTGAAACAGGAAAGAGCACCACATATGCCACTTGGAATGTGTGACGCAAACCCCAGCCTTGAAACAAAGAACAGGAAACAGCTCTGCTGGCTGCGCTGGGGAGAAAGCACAGAGAAACATTTAGGCGGCCCTCCCTGACCCTATATTCATGAGCAGCTGGAGTCTTTTAAAACAACAACAGTGGGTGGAGGTGTTTGTTCATTGGGTGTGAATAAAAACACTGTCCTTATGCAGGGGACCTGCCCTATTTACAAACAGGCTCCCTTAACATGAGGCAGCAGGAGATTTTAAGACACCACAGGTCATGAGGATTCGCTGRAATCTTTCCTTTGACCAGTTCGTTTATTACTGTATTTACGGAATGCCAGTAGCTAAACAGAGCTCTGGCTTCATGACATCAAAGAGGTAGTGCCCAGCCTGGCAGTAAGCACCTTCTTTGCAGACAGAGCTGGGGGATGAGACCATTGCAGGAAGGATTTGTAAAGCTTGGGGTTGCYCCTGGACAGTGGGTCACTCACGCTCAGTACTGCTCCATAGCTGAGGACCAACATCACGCAGTACACACAGGAATATTTTTCTAAGCCATCAYATGCTTAGCCTTCCACATCCCTGTTTTCATACGCACTCAGACTTCATTTCAGAGTCATGGATCTACTRTTTTTATTTTTGAAGTGCACAAATATACAACTGTATAAATTAAATAAGCTGAGGGAGAGGAATAGCACAACTTGTCTAGATTTCATAGTCCAGAGTAACTTCAACACTTGTTTTCCTTCAAAGCTGTGGTTTCACRTAMTCTCTCTTGTCTTGGATACCTTGTATTGATTATTTATACACCAYGGGTGGGACATCTAATATGATCAAATGTGAGTATGTGTTACAGCAAATTAGGTGGATGAGTACCACATCAACACCCATGAATGTTGTGAGGTTTCAGGGCTGGAGTTTAATTATGACCATGGGGTGAAAACTGGCTAGTACAGCATCTACCCAGCAACGTGTGGGGTGTAGGTTTTATGCCAATAGTATCAGTTCCTTACTTCTTCATACCGAACAACTGGAAATATAAGTAATTTAGTGATTGCGTAACATCTCTATTACCTCTGAGTCTTCAACCAATCTCAAGCACATTTACATCATTATTTGAGGGATTTTGCTTTTGGCTGAACAGGTGGTGCCTAGGTCAAAATATCACAGTACCTAAGGGCTCCCCTGCAGCTCTGCAACYTGGAGGAAATTCTGCTTGGATTCTCAGGGAACGGAGAGACCAYTTAGCATTCTTTCTTGCCCCCACCCCTTGCCATTACCACCAGTCTGTCTTGGGATCCGTGACATAGCTGTAACAGGGCGTGCAGGGGAAAAAARCCCAAAAATATTTGCCTCCTTGTGAAAAAAAAAAAAAAGGCTACTCAAGTCAGCTTCAGGATTTTTGTATTTTGATACTAGACAATATATTCTTAAAAATACAGGGTGAAAACTAGTTTTGACATAAGTATCTTCTGGGTCAGGCAGGATCATTAAATCCAGATGTAATTCCTCTCATCCAAGTACCAGCTGCTCAYGTGATTATCATGTCAGTGTATCTTWTAAGTATTCTATGGAAAAGTCACTAGCCCTGTAATTCTTTGTTTTCAATACAGGAAATGTGTATTTATTAATATTAGTTTAAATGAAGTCTTCAGAGTTCTCCTATCAGCCATCCAAATTCAGCTTTTCTCAACAATTAAACCTTCAGAGTTCAGTTCCATAAAAAGTGACACTTCCTGAATATTCAAAAGCAAGTGAATAAAACAGAGCAGACAGTGCAGGTAGAGTATCCAAATCAAAAGGGAAGTGCACAAACCAACTTCAGTGTATTTTTTAAAGTAACTCCTGAATGACCACTTGAGCTAGTCTGAACTAGGTCTTTCTTCCAAGCTCCGGTTAGGTGCTGGGATCTCCCAACCCAGGTTCGTGTTGCTGAAACTTCCCTTGTCAGGGCTTCCCTAGCTGYGCCAGGCACTCACCTAACAGCGGTCCAAAGCAAGTAACTCCTATTCCCATTTTGGTTAAAAACAAGTAAAAAATCAGAACCTCCCCCCGCAAAAAAAAAAGGAAAAAAAAAAATTTAATGGCGAAGGGMATGTTACTTCTAACTCCGCGCTTCACTGCTGTGGTGTCCCACGTTTTACCTTCGCCTGCATGGCGGCCAAGCGGTGCTAAAGTGACCTGACAATACAAGGGTCAGACTTTTGGGAGCCGATTTMATCTCTGACTTCACCAGGAGTTCAGCGGGGGCCACGGCGCTGCCGTTCCGCTCTGCGTTACGGGTGGGACGTGGCCAGGACGCGAGCTTCTGCCGCGGCATCGCCCCCGTCGCCCGCGGAACCGAGCGAGCCCGCTATAGTTTCCACCTCGGCTAGGTCGGGCATTGAATGTATCCCGCCCAGGATCCGATGGCACTTCASTCTCTACCCGAAGAAGCGCCTGTCCCGCCCCGGTGAGAGGCCGGGGGCTGCGGCCGCGCTGGGCGGGAGAACGGCCCCGAGGGGCGGGCGGCCCGCGGGCCCTCCCGCCGGACACAGGCGAGCGGGGGAGGGCGTCGGGGGAAGGCGCCCCCCGAGCGGCCCCGCCGGCCACACAGGTGCGCTGCCCGCGGGGCGGCCAGCGGCGGCCCTCCGGCCCCGGCTCCCGCCGGCCGCACAGCGAGTTTCCCAGGCGCCGCGGAGGGAGTCCCCCTGTGAGCCCCCGCGGCGAGTCCTGCTCCCCCTTCCCCGCAGCTGCGGCCTGACGGAGACCCAGTTCCCTCCACCCCCCGGCGCGGCTGCAGCTCCGCGGCATCACCTTGCCGCCTCGGGCTCCGCGCCGCTCGCAGCGCCTGGAAACTTTTTTCCTCCGGCACCTCCATCCCGCAGCCGGCACAACCCGGCCCCCGCGCTACCCCCGCCCTCACACTTACGCTCGGCGGGCGGGCGGTGCGGGACGCGCCGCGTCTCCGTCGGCTCCCGCAGYGCCGGGGGTCGCGCTAGGTGGCGGGGGCTGGGGGCGCTCCGGTGGGACCGAGGCGCGAGGCCGGCGTGTCCCGCGTCCCCGCGGCTGAGGCGCTTCGGCGGTGTCTCCGGGTCTGTGTGCGAGCAGGAGCTGCCCGCTCCCGCCCTCCGCCCGCTCGCCTTCCCCCCGGGCTCCTGGCACCGGGCCGCGCTGTCACATGACGCCGGCGCCGCTCGCCCTGCCAGGCTCCCCGGGCCGGCGGGGTGAGTGGCGGTGGGAGGGTCACGGCGGGGAGCGCGGCCGGGCGGGTCCCCGCCCGCGGGGTGGAGGCTCCGCCGAGGGGCCGGGGCGAGTCACTCCTCACAAACAGCCGGGCACGCACTGACTACGCGCCCGCCCTGCCTCCCGGGGGCAGACGGCCTCGCACAGACACTAATTATCCCCAGCAGCCCGGGGAGGGGAGGGGAGCGGGGCCGCCCCAYCGACAAACCTGCCCGTCCAGCTCCTCCTCCCCGCCCGTGTGTCAGGCAGAGGCGTGCACCTGGCAGCGGCCCTGCGGCACGGCGCACCCCTCGCTGCTTCCCTCCCTCCCTCCGCGTCCACCCCGGCCGACCTGCGGCGGCAGCAAAACAACAGCAACACCCAGCGCCCGGGGGAAAGGAAGGGAGGTGCTCACTCTGGGCCGCTGCCACCGAGCTGGCTTCCCCGGCGGGGGCTGGGAAAGGGCGCGGGGCGGCGCGGAGCCGGGCGGCGGCTCCCCAGCCCTGCCGCCGCGGGCTGCCCGCGCCGCGCCCCGTCGCGCCGGGGGAGGTGGCGGGGCCGGGCGGGGCGAGGGCCGGAGCGCGGCGGGCGTGGGGCAGAGGTGTCGGCCCGGCTCCGCCCCGGTTTGGCGGCTCGCCCGCCGGGACCGCCGGCTGCTGAGGCCCGTGCCGGGGTGGTTTTTACGGCTGCGCTCAGCCCGTCGTGCCCCGGGTGTGCTCCCGCCGGAGGGAAGGGGGCTGGCGGGGTGAGGCGCTACCAGCTCCCCTCGACTCGGCCCCCGTCGCCAGACGCGGCGGTCCCCTCCCTCCACCACCCGTGCCGCCCCTGCCTGCCCAGCCCAGCGTCTGGCACCGGCCCGGGGCAGGTGTGTGTGCGTGACCCAGCCCGCCCCTTCTCCGGGCGCCGCTYGCAGCGGGAGGGGCCGCGCTGTCCGGGGGATTCGGGGTACGGCGGGGCGCTGCCTCTGCCCCACGACTGTGCTTGCTGCTCGAGACAGTTTCCAGCGCAGTGCACTGAACGCCCCTTATGTTAAATGGGAGGCTCTTAACTCTACTCACAGAGCACTGGGAGCAATACTTAAAAGAAAATATATATCCCGGCTGAGTGTGTCAATTCCACTGGTTAGGGAAAAGTGCTGCCACTAATTCACAGTAGTGTGCTTACAGTAGTTGTAGTGTGCCGTATAAAATCATGGTCTATCCTTASTGATGTGTGGTATCTAGCCATGAGGCTAAGAAAGAGGTAAATACTGTGCTTGGCAAGACCCTATCCAGTGCTAATTGCGTGGACAGATGAAAAGCCAGCTGAAAAGACAGCAATACTTCTTGTGGATGGAGAGGTTACCTTTGCAGGTCTCCATTCACATGCTTTGTTTCATGGGTATAGTCAGTGGTAGAGGCTGAGTATTTCTGGCTCTGTATGACCCGCGTATGTATATAATTGTCTTAATAGGACCCTAATGTAGCATACCTTTTTCTTTGTATGTTTGTGAAATTTCTGTTCACATTGATTCTTATTGACCCAGTCAATAATGCTATAAAAACAAAGGAAAGAAGGAAGAGGAAAGGATAGGGGAAGTRTTTTCAAACGTACTGCTCTGCATGCATGTTCAGTCTGTCTTTATTCCTAGGATGTTTTAATAAATCCCTTAGCTTGCTAGTCTRTATGGCTTTAAAAGCAAATTAAGACACCAATCTGAGGCCCTGAAGGGTATGACTCAGTGACAACAATWAATTGTAGTATCTCTTGCTGAGTAATTACACCATATCATGTCACAACAAGGTATTGTTGAAATACTATCATGTAGCTCATAAAGTGTCATTTTTTTATTATAAGCCTATAAAATAAACAGAATGCTGTGTTATACACATGGGCACAAAACATTTCATTAGGGCTGTGAAAAGGAGCAGCTGTAGTTTTCTTGCATGAACATGCTCAAGATAAAGTAGGTATGTCCCAGTTCGCATTCTTTTATTCTGGGAACTAKCAGAGGTTAAACAGCTAACTGGAATTCTTAGGTCAGGGGCAGATCTGTTTTGATGTCAAACCATGAGAAACGGCAAAATATTTAGTATTTGCCAGCATGCTGCTCCTGGTGAAGTCACTGGCTTTTCTTGCTATTATCTAGTTTTGGCCTCAGATGAACTTGTTTTAATTTGGTGTAATTTTACTGTTTTCTTGTGAAGTGGCAGATGACAGGATTTAGAATGCTGCTTTTGCACTGTTAAGATTTTACACCTGTCAGCATTTTGTTGCCTTCCTGCTTGTTTTTTTTCATAGTTTAACAATTCAAAGTCTTGAAGGCAAGTTCAAATTCTGAAGGGAGCAGGATCTTACTGATTTAGTGGGAATTGAAAAACCAGAAGGGAGAAGCTTGGAGCAGAGAGAGTCCTTGCCATCTGGTTAGCAGACCCAGCAGTTGTAACCAGGTCTGGAAGTGTTTCTAGATCAAAGGACTKGTTGGTGGCAGCCCTTAACATCTTCCAGTACAACACCTCTTCCATCTCTGCTCTACCTATCATCCCCACAGAATGGCTTCTCTCTCAAAACAGAAGAGAAGTAGTATGCAAGTCCTTGGTATTAAAAAAAAAGAAAGAATGCTGCTTGGGTGTCCTTTGATTTGTAGCATATGCCATGAGCCCTTGCGATGAGATGTAGCATTTAACATGATGGGACCTTGAGCATCAATAATCCCAAGCATTAGGAAGAGCGTTGGCACATAAAACTTTCTGATATAAGCAGACAGGAGGTGTTACATAGAATGRGTTGTATGGATCTCTGGTGTGAACAAATCAGTATTAAAATGTTAAATGAAAGGGTATAATATGTTCAGATGTCTGTTAAAAGACCAAACCCAGACATTTGTTGAAATGAACCCTTATTGCATTCAGCTAAATTGCCACTGCAATAAATGTAACTGTTCTGTCACATTTCTGACATATTCTGCTTCCCAAAAATCAGTTAAAACATAAAAGGAATAATTTAGAATCCTGTATACTTTCCCAGTCCTTAATCCAACTTCAGGTTATGGGGTAATTTGGAAGTTTGGTGGACCCAAGCAATACAATTGTTAAGCTGGCARTTCTTCCAAGTTGTTCTGTGATAGGAAATATATGATATACAYAGTCATAGTGGTATTTATACAGGGAAAATGTCCACTGCAATCAGTGGGCTTTTTCCTTAGACTACAGATACACATTTATTTGAGTGATTTAGATATCTATGTATAAACTTACTGTGTTCTGCAGAGTTTCAGGTCAGATAGTCACCTCATACATCTGGTACTCACTGAACAGCTTCTGGAAGGAATGARGGAGAGGTCATCACATAGCCAGCAATATTCATTACTTTTGTTAAACACAGGTCACATTTTGGAAGAACCATAAATTTTACACTTAAAATGCTGTAATTTATTGCACTCCAAATGTTTAATCTCCATAGTGTGGTGAGAATACATGCTCTAAGTCCAAGTGGTTATAAATGTAGAAGTTGAGGCAGTACAAATTCAAAYAGAAGCTTAAATGACTTAAAAGCTTTGATATGTTTATGCTGCAGTTATGGCCATATCTGAGCTGGTTTAAAACTGATCAACTGTGGAGCTTGTAGCAATCTAGCTATGGCAGTGTGGACCTTGTAGCTGTCTGGAAAACATGCCCAAAAAGCTGGATAAATACTTGAGTRGTTAGGCTGGTCTGAACCCAATGGCTAGGCTACTACCAGTACCAAAGATGGATAATTTAAATCTTGCCTGGCTGTGTGTACACAGCATTGCAGTCATATCACATGTGACTGTAGCACAGACATACCCTTCTGTGAGTTCTGTGACTCAGCTTTGTCTTCTGGCAGATGATGCCCATGTTGTTCTTGGCTACTTTTTGTTCTTGGCTAGTTTTGTGGCTACTGTTAATTCAGTGGTCCATGGCAAAGGCTTTTGCAGGTATTAAAGAACTGACAGCACAATGTAAGATACCCCTTTATTGCTTTGAAACTTTCCTCTTTGTAACGGTGGGCTCTCATCTTGCAGCCATTCGGGCATGTGAGCAACTTGTGAGTCAACCTACATGTTTGCATAATTGGGACCTTCTTGTTTGCTTGGAGGAAGGGCAAGGTGAGGGTGAGTAGCCAAGGCTTCCTGGCTCTGTCATATAGGTGTGGACAAGAGGAAACCACTGGAGGAGCTTGGGCAGAGCTGGTATTGAGGTGCATGGGGCCTAGGGCAGAGGCTACTGTGTGAACCCCTCCCTGCCTCCTCCTGCCCACACGTGGATGAGGAGTCCTGCCGCCTTGGCCCAGGTTTCTCCTCCTGCCTGTCCCTTCCTGTGGCCCAAGGACCAAGACAATTACTGTAGTTCCTCACCCCTGAAATGAATTCACATTTTGTGCAGTAACAAATTTCAGACACCACAAGGTTCTTTTGTGTTCACTGCCTCACACAAGGAAAGGATGGATGGCTSTTCTTTCTAGTTAAAACCACTGAGTCACACATGACTGCTTTTAACAAAAATCAGCCCTCTGGGGGCTAGCCCTCAAGCCCACTGCAGGAATCAAAATTACAGAGGCAACATGTGGGGCAACAGAGGTGTGTGTGTGTGTTGAATTGCTTGCTATATATTTATGGTTTTAAGAACAGGTATGATTGTGTTGCAGGTGTAATGACTACTGAAGGCTGCTGAGCTTGAATTTCATGATTTGAAGTGTAGAAAGATGGTTGAATTTTGTAGCAATGTCCAAGATGTAGCTGAGGGACACTTGAAGTTTCCATAGCAGGAAGAAAAACCATTTTAGAAGCAAGAGCAGATATGTATGTGTGAAGGCTGATGGGTCCGGWGACCAAATCTTCATCAAGCTTATGCTGATGTGAACTCGAGATGATGTGTGGACGATGTTATAATTGAGAACGATCTTGTGTAGGTGCTGTGTCTCTTAATTCTATTCTTGAACTTTATTCCTATAATGATGTTTTTCCTCAGCACTGGGGCTRGAATTTCTCCTCAGAGTGTACAACAAGAAACAGAAAGATAATTTGGTTCGCTCATACAAAAATATACGCAGTCAGTGGTTTGGTTACAAAAGGTCTGTTGGTTTTAGTCTGTGTTCACTCTTCCTTCCCAACGGAAAGCAGTGCAAAACACAT